ACACCGCCATAGCCGGTCTCAAGTCAATCACCGGAGATGAACCATTCAAACGCTTCTATTCGACCTTTGAAGGCGTCATATCGAAGCTTTCTGCTCCCCTTGCCTTTGCTAGCTTACCCCTGGGAGTCGACGGCGCCTCTCAGCCTCGACTTCTCTCGGGACAAAAGGCTCCAGCTGCAGACACAAAGACTGACACCGACGCCGCCGTAGCGGACTTTACCAGCTTCTCAGACAAGGACCCAGATGTGTCTAAGCTTATCTCCAGTGCTGCATTGAGGGCCATCAAGGACAAAGACGGCCACTTTGGCTCGCATAACCCGGCTGAATCATTCTATGTAGTGCCCACAACAGGTGGAATGATATCCTATGCCGGCATACTTTCTCGGGAAGAAAAGGAGGCTGTGAAAGACAGCCTGGAGTCCGTCGAAGATGACTTTGTCGATGCTAGTGAAAACCCCCCTTCCCCTGAAGACTTCGTACAAAAGGCCGCCAGCAAGCTGGATCGAAGCACCACTCTACCGCCACGCAAGAACAAAGGCGATCACTCGAGATCCCTGAAAACCGTAGAGGAGCTTCATATGGAGAACGAGGCTCTGAGACATCTGTCTGACACACTGGCGAAACGCCTACATATGTGGGAAGTGAATGCCCAGTCGTCATCACTCGCTCTTCAACAGTCCATACGTGCCATGCACAACCAGCATGCCATCTTACCGTCTCTCCAGACATCTCCTGCAGCTTCTACTACCGGTGAACCCATGTCATCAGCAGTACCTGGTGCTGCCTCAGACATGCGCATCAGGGAACTACAAGAGCTGATCAGGAACAACGAACGGGAACTGGAAAAAGTCAGCCGTGAGAACGAAAAGCTTAGAGCCGTAGTCGAGAGGTATAGAGAGCGATGGGAGAAGCTGAAAGAGGGTGCTCGGGTTAGACGTGAGGGTGCTGGCAATGGGAATGGGAATGGAAGACCTTCCAAGGACGACTCCAAGGAGAGAGCCGAGGAAGAAGATACTAATAACAATAAGCAAGGGGATTGAGATGAGTTTTCCAGTTAGCTTATGCCAGATTTCAAGGATCTTATGTACACACACACTGAATCTAAGTCACTCGTTCGTCGATTATTTGCATCAAAGGACTGACTGGTTGTTTTGATGAACGCTCAAGTATCAACACGAATAGCGAGAGTAGCAACGGGAAAAAAAAAAAAATACAATGGAAAAAACAACCACCACCATCATTCGGAACGCTAGATGATAATTAAATACATCGCCTGCTGGGCTCTATAGCGGAGTATTAAAATGTATTAAAGACAGAAGGAGAATAGAAGGCCAGCATGGGCCTAGGAAACGAAAGAAAAGGCGAACAAGGGAAAAAAGAGAGAGATTTCGGGCTGAGAGGTGAGGATACTGGATGGTTTGAGTCGTGAGATGTACATATAAACAGGGCCGGATCCAAGGCAACGGATATCTTCATGGCTCCGGCTGGCGGCTGGTAGGCTCTTCGGAACCCTCAGCGGGAAGTTTCCCCTTTGACCTACGGCCGCTGAGCCGTAAGTTGCCTCCAAAGTTCAATAGGCCGCCACTCCACGAATCACTCAGACTCCTTATCCGCTGCTGTTCACTTGGGAATGCATCTGGACCTGTAGTTGAAGTTGATCGCGATATCTGAGGCCCGTCCCTTGGTGTGCCAGTTGACTCGACTTCAGTCTCGGCCACAGGGCGTGGATCAAGCGCTGCGTCCAGATAAAGCGGAATACCTGCTCGTACCCTATTCTTGGATTTGTGCCTGGTGCTTCCGCGTAAGCTTCTCCGTAGTTGTTGGGGGGATCCTTCTCCCCGTCGTAAAGAGTCTGCAACAACAGCGCTTAACCCGCCTGATAACGGGGGGAGAAGCGGACCAGGGGAGAATCGGGAAAGAGAGTTTCGATGCACTGAGCCGGGGGTGCGTAGAGGCTGACCGGAGTGCTTGTGCGTGCTATGCTGCTCTGCTCTGGTTGGGGAACGGCGTCGAGGGCTTCCTTGAGGCGTTTGTGGACCAAGTTGGGGAGGTGAAATCCGATGAGGTGAATCCGTTGCGCCCGGGGCAGCCGGGAATTGCAAGACCACATTGGTTGGAGGAGGGTAGACGTCTGCACTACGGGATAAGGTATCCTTACCAGGAGTGGCAGCAAGGTAGTCTGATTCTTCTCTCTCATGACTTGGGGTTGCCCAGGGGTTGGAAATGGCAGGCAGTGGAGAGGGATCCAGAATTGAAGAAGAGCTTGAGATAGGGGGTAGCAGAGACCCGGGAGAGGCAGATATCCGGACACGCGGAGTCAACTGTCCATCCTCGTCCTCGGATTCGTTATAGACCTCTTCCAGGCTCTGGAGCGAGCGAGATGGTGAAGGCTTTGTCTTTGAACCCGGGCCGGCGCTATCGGTACTCTGTCTTCTGGGTATTGGTGCACCATCTTGCTGCCAGTCAACATAGTCTCGATATGGTTCCTCGTTCTGAAGACCGATGGCTTCCTCCTCATCTGTCTCCGACTCAGATTCAGATTCATCTTCCTTTTGGACCCTCCCGCTCGTGATGAGATAGACGGCGAAGAAAGTCAATAGACAGCCACCAACAAACTTGGCAACCCTTTCTCCGGTTGCAGATTCAAAATCACGATATAATATAGCACTTCCCACAATAACTGATAAGGTGAACAGCACAAACTGAGTTGGGATCACCTGCGTCGAGTTGAAGTGCTGCAGCGCGCGGTTGATATATCGAATCTGCATCACAGCACTGAACACCAGGACGGCCACAAGGACATACGTTATAGGGAATGTGATTGCATGCCAGAGTGTGTTTGAAAGAAGGGAGGAAACTCCCTTGGTAGACAGGGCTGTATAACCGCCTATGCATTTCAATGTCAGCTCAGATATAGAGAAAAGCAGAACTATGAAAAAGCATCTTACCAAACAATCCAACAAGCCCAATATCAATCAGGATGGTCTTTCTCCCATACTTTCTGCTTATCAACATCAAAGCAATAATCAAAACAACGGTAATCCCGAGGTATGTCTCAAACTCCCAGCGTGTAATCATACCCCATATTTCATCCGGACCGATCTTGTTTTCTGATGTTTTGGCACTCAGGACGACGATGACAGCTCCAGCAACGGCAATCACAACTCCAAGAAAGTCTCGCTGGCGGAATCTCTCCTTCAGCATGAACGGCGCAATCACACAGTTCGAAACCAGGGCAACAACTCCCAGGGGAGAAACAATGGAAGCTGGAGCGAATCCATAAGCCAGGAAATTGCCAGCTTCTCCCACAGTCATCAGTACTATGCCAAACCACCAGTATGAGGAACGGAGGTATGACTTTCTGTCAACACCGGCTATGCTCTTCTCAAACGAGGTCGCTGTTCGGTCGGATAAGAAAGAGCGCTGCAAAAGGTCGTCGACTGCCTCATCTTCTGACGATTGATTCTCCTGGCTTTGCGTATGAGCGTGTCCATTTCCGTTAGTATGCGCCTTGCGTGGTCGGCGTCGTCCACCTTCCTCCGGGTCATCAGTATACCGGGTTGCACTGACATCATCCTGACTTTGGGCATTCTCCCTGTCTACCGTCCCGTAGTCACTGTAACTGCTCGTCGGCCCGTCTGGTCTTGGTGGCGATGAGGTCCGTTTCCACTCGGCCCTCAGCCGTAGTATATTCCCTTCATATTCCCGCTCAATACGAACATGAGCATAACGCTGGATATTCAGGGCAACCGAGATAAGGACATTGCCTACAATCGCAGTGACGATTCCTATCGTAGAGGACCACTCGCTGATTGGGTCTCTCTCATGCCCGCCTTCACCAGGCTTCTCGCCGATGAGGACGGGAGCATTGCCAGCAGCAAAGGAGGACTGGTGTAACGGCGAAGGTAGTGCTGTGGAGGAGACCTGCTCGGCGATAAGGAAGAGGAGAAAGGCGACAAGCATTGTCACAGAGGCGGAAAAGGAGCTCTTCTCGGCCTCGAAAGTGCTGCTTCCCGCTCGTAACTGGATGGCCAAATAACCAGGGCGTTCCGGCTATTGCTTGATGTCCCTGATGCTGCACACCGGCCGTCGTAACTAGCCAACGCCGCTTGAGGGCTTCCTTTGACGGCTGCCGTAGAGGGTCTACCGCATGTAGAGGGCAGATTATGAGGCTGCTATCAAGCCTTCATCCGCTCTCAGGGCGCTCGCAGGTCGGAGCCAGGTTTTGGTCAGGTCTTCGAGCTAGCTGGCCGTCGATAACTAGTAAATATTTAGTCAACCAGGGCTCGGGGTAAACAGTCTTCTTCTTCGTCTTCTTCGTCTTCTTAGCGACAGCAACTGATCCGCCTGCTCGTCATACCGGGACTCCTGAGACGGTTGCGCCTTTGTCCGCGACGCACTCTAGAGAGGCGAGAGCATGAAGAGATGCCAGGGAATGCGAGGATTTGGACGGCCGCCCCCCAGCGTGGTGGATGGCTGGGATTTTTGGATGACTCGCGCGCCAACCAACCAGAACGGGCGCGGAAAGCCCAGCTTGTGATTTATATGCAGCTAAACTAATTCAGTGGAGTCAAAGCTGCAAAAGGTGCGTCAGGAGTGTTTATCAAAGGCGCCTTGAGCGGTGCTGGTGACGGTGATGGCGACGACGGCCGCAGAGACGTTGGGTTTGTGGATGGTTTCATTAACTATGTCCAGTGCTCGCCGTATGTAGAGCTACGTTGGTTACGCCGTGCAAGAAGAGCAGAAATCGAGCAGCGCCAGCAGCATCAAGTAGCACAGCATGCTCGATGGCAAAGTCTGGCTTCGTATTATGGAGAAAATCGCGAGTGTCTGAAAATTTAGATGTCACAAGGGTATATATTTCGATAGTTGATTTCAAATCCTCCCAGCTTGCTGCGCCTTTTTATGCCTGTTATGAATCCTGATGTACTTATTCTACAATATATTATTACTCCATATCGCCCTCTCCCACGGTAGTCATGGCCGTTATGGACCTCCAGCTAATAATTCCGTTTTATCCTCTTCTTGTCAGGGCCTTTCCCCTTGGTTTCCTCCTCGTCGTCACTCAGCTCGGCGTAGATAGTCTTGGGCTGGGTGTCTTTCCATGCATAGGTGAATATAGGATTCTTCTCGGCGGCTTCGGCATACTTTAGAAGTGCCTCGCGAGGATCCTCATCTCTCATCGAACTGAGAGGTATGTTGTCCTGGATGTGTTTCTCGTCAGGCTGGCTTTTGGCAAAGGGCGTCTGGGCCGGTACGTGAGGCCGGCAAGGATCTCTCGATCGCCCTGAAGCTGTGAGTCCAACATTGGGGTGCCTAGCTGCAAAGCTAGCTGCTGCGATTCCGCTGCCGTTAACAATGCCCTCGCCCGAGAAACCGAGAGAGATGTCAGTTGTAAAGTTTGGATCGTCGTCGACATGTCGTCGCTTTGGTGCCTTGGACATTATCGTGAGAGCTCCATTATGCGAGAGGGACGGGTTATATAGCAAATGCGTTTCCGCGTTAGCAGATCCAGTGACGATTTGATTGAGCTTTTCATGCCATAAGACGGAAATCAGGGGTGAGTCGGGGGTCACAAGAGTAACCAGCTCGGGTTTGAGGGTAGCAGGATTCAGTATATGTAGATGTCCGGTCTCAGAACCCGTCACGATGTTCGCTCCAGTTGGAGAAAATTGGATATTAGAAGTCGGGTAAAACTTTGATCCAGATACGTGTGAGACAGTCGTTATCGGCTGTTTGAATTTCCTGGTATCCCACAGCTTAATCAGGTCGTCTCCTCCCTTGGTGACCACCAGCCGTCCATCTGGGCTGATATCCAACCCACTGATCCATGAATCCTTCGTATGTGCATCTTTGATCTCGGCACTCGGTCTGGTAAAAGGTCCATCTCCTCCCCACATAACAAGGCTGCCATCAAGAGCGCTTGCTATCAGAGCATTTGGTCCTCCCTGCGTAGGCGATGCCCAGGCAACCGCTGTCATCCTACTCCTACCTGCAGACCCAGCCACTTTTGATCTATGCACAATGACTTCCTTCTGGCTTCTAGGATCATTGACATCCCAGATACGTAGTGTGCTGTCAGTGCCGGCAGTGACGCACAAGTTATAGTCCGTTGGACTCCAGGTCCCGCTGGTAACTTCAGATATATGGCCCTTCGTGTTCTTCATGTCCCTCAAATACATGTCTCCCTTCACAAACTCCGCAAGAGTATCGCCATCTCGGCTCAGAATCTTTGCTTGCGGCGTGGCCGATACCACTAGGACCTGGCTGGGGGAAATGGGGTTGAACTTCGCAATGTGAACAGGATGTATCTCGGATGAAGAGGTTGCGTTTTTCCTTGCATTTGGTTCGACCGACTTGAACGCCCGTAATGTTGAAGGTGTTAATGATGCAAAGTCATGGAATTTAACTGTGCAGTCAGTCGAACCCGTGATCATTCGCGCTCCGGCGGTGTCGAGTGTTATCGTCGTCACAGCTCGATCGTGCGTTTTAAAGACGAGGTTATGGGAAACTGGGAATTCATCCTCTGGTGAATCTGAGTCTGAATCTGAGTCTGAGTCTGAGTCCGAATCTCCGCCATCTTTATCTTCGGCGGCTTCCTGCGAAGGGCTTGCCGGCTTTTCTGCTGTTCGCGCGCCGGGTGTTTCGATAGGCTCCTTTCGCTTCGTTCGATCAATCTGGGTCTTAATGTCGGCTTCTTTCGTCTGTTTCCCAAAGCCGCTGGGGAAAAACTTCTTAAACTCTTCCTCGTCGAATCCCTCCATGGTGTAGCTGATAGACTGACTCTAGAAATGTAAGCTAAAGCTGTCTTATCAACTTTGAGAGGCGAGAAATAACGAACGAGCCAAGTTGCCTGATTTGTTAAGTTTGTGCTGTTTGCATAACTAAACTTTAGATATCACGTGCATGAAATAAGGTTAACATTTAAGCGCCTTTCTTGTAAGACCCACTTTTGCCGCGGAATTCTAAATTTCCCAGCGGAGTATGGAGTACCAAGTCTTTTTTCTCACTACGACCTAGACAACCCCAACTAACTTGGCAAATTATTTACCTATCTCGAAACCATTATGGGAAAAATGTCAAGGCCACCATCTGAACTATGCCCAGATTTTGGCCTGGCTGCTATAGAGGACGTGCCAAACTTAGGACTAATCGAAGCTGAGACCTGCCGTACACCTGAGGTCATTCTTGACGCTGGTTATACATACACGCCGATACATGGAGTTTACGCATAGCAGTGAGTTTTGGATCCTGGGTGAAGTTGAACTGCTAATCCCCAATCAAGAGCTATGGGATATCTCGGAGAGGAAAGCACCTTTTAACGATATTGACCCTGAGTACCTCGGGATGAGTATCAGTATGATGATGCAACCCATCTTCCATATATTACAGCCTTTTAGGCCCGCCTCCAATACGGCTACTCGATAATGGGCAGTGAACTTCTCTGTTTTATAAACCAGAAACTTGGTATAAGTAACTACGTTCTCTTTGTGGTTAGATTTGCATGTAGCCAATGCCCACGCGGGTTAAAAACAGCACTATGTCCTAGGGAAAAGTTCGTCTTCGAAACACCATTCCAACAGCCACAGGGCACGAGAAGAAAATGTTTCTTAAGATTGTGAAGAGAATGATCGAGTGGGAGTAAGGGGAGCGAAGTAATGCGCGGGAACTCCTCAACGACCCTTGGCTTCATATGAATTACCCAACGGCGTGAGTGAGGATGCCACACTAAGTCTGTACTATACGGAGCAAGTGAAATGTGAAATGTGTTTGAATGGAATGGTCTAATATCAATTTATGAGCTTGCAAAAAGAGCTTGCTTGAATGATATTATACAGATAGGCGGCGCATAGAAGCAAAGGAAGGACTACAAGTAAAGTCCCTCGGGCTCGTTTTCTTGCTTGGTCTTCATGACACGTTCCCTAGCTGCTCTGAAATCTGCCATTTGTACACGCATACGGCGTTCACGAAGGGCCATAAGACCTGCTTCAGAACATATGGCTTTGATATCTGCACCAGAGAGATCGTCCTTCTGAGTGATGAATTCGTCGAGTTCGACGTCTTCGCTTAAAGACATCTTGGAAGTATGGAGGGTGAAGATCTTTTTCTTGGTGTTTTCTAAAGGCCCGTTAGTGTGCATTCAATGGTTGATTCTGGGGGAAGGGTTCAACTTACGGTCAGGGTTCTCAAAGAGAATCTTTCTGTCAATACGGCCAGGACGGATAAGCGCAGGGTCCAAGGACTCGATCTTATTCGTGGCCATGATGACTTTAACATCACCTCTATCATCGAAACCATCAAGCTGGTTGAGAAGTTCAAGCATAGTACGCTGAATTTCTCGCTCACCGCCAGAAGTAGAGTCATAACGTTTCGTACCAATTGCATCAATCTCGTCAATGAAAACGATGGATGGGGCATGTTCAGCAGCGACCTGGAAGATCTGGCGGACAAGGCGGGGTCCGTCACCGAGATACTTCTGAATAAGTTCACTACCGACGATTCGAAGGAAAGTAGCGCTTGTTTGGTTGGCAACGGCTTTAGCAAGAAGAGTTTTTCCTGTTCCCGGTCCACCGTATAAAATGACACCCTTCGGGGGTTTGATTCCCATCTCTTCATAGAGTTCTGGATGTAGTAGTGGCAGCTCGACAGCTTCTCTCACTTCTTGGATCTGTGATTCTAGACCACCTATGTCTGCGTACGACTCTGTGGGCGCCTTCTCCAGCTTCATAACGGATACAAGCGGATCGGCATCGTCTGTGAGAACACCAACGACCGAGACTGACTTGTGATGAAGTAGAATACTGGCTCCCGGTTCTAGCAGGTCCTTATCGACAAAGGACATGATAGAGACGTAATATTCTGGCCCCGTCGCGCTGGAAACAATCGCATGGTCATCGTCGATCATCTCCTCCAGGTTTCCCACGCCCATGGGGCTGCCTCTCATATCGTCCACCCGGCCTCGCTCATCCTCATTTCTGTCCAGAGCACTGTTGTTATCGTCCGTTGACGGCTGAGTTGACGAAGCCTGGGCCTTGGATTTGCGAATACGTTCTTGATTCTCCACGTACTCCTCTTCAAGCAAGAGATGGTCATGTACTCGCTGCATGCGGAGGTATTTTAACTTGCACCTTGAAGTCGGATAAATGGATGGTAGTTTGGCAGAGGCATTTGGACCTTGTTGCTTACGCTTCTTTCGCCCGATACGTGTGGTTGGCTGTGGTGGTGGTTCGTACTTTGGCTTCTCCTTCTGTTGAGCCTGGTAAGTGAATGTGCCCATGGAAGACTTGAACATGGTGTAAAGATGAAGATATACCTTCTTGTCTTTGTCATCTTTGCCTTCTCCCCCTTGGCCGCCCATGCTAGACGGTTGGTTTCCCTATTGAGCCGTGGCTTAGTATTCTTCTTGAGAGAGATCAGAGCGGAAGGCAAACATACCATCGTGACACGCTAAACGCCCAGTCGGCGTATCAACTGTTTCCTGAGCTGGTTCCAAATATATTGAATAGGCCGCAAAAGCCAGTCTCCGCCTGCGCCGTCGAGTCTTTTAGGGGTACGGGACGAGGTTGTTGAGTGGTCGATCGGGATGTCAACGTTGTTCAACTTTGGAGCTTCGCCGTGCTTGTCGCTCCAGCTTGAGCTGTGATTAGTAAGTCTATATTAGTCATCACCTCTTCGGAGTGTAAGAATAATAATCCGATTTACTGCTGAGTCATCAAGTCTCGACGATAACAACAAGAAACGCAAATAAAAATTGGAAAAGATGGATAGACTGAAAAATGGCCAGAAAAAAGAGATCCCACTACCTGGAGCAAATAGTGCCAATTGAAATCTTGTTCTCCTATATATACCCGAGATGCTTTCATTATATGCATGAGAAGATACCTTATGGGGATATAAATCGTAATGACAAGGAAGTTGGCTTTTTGTTTACTGTTATTATACCCCTTTTACTGATTCTTAGGGGAAGCGAGTTTGCGGACACACCCCCGAACGGACTTGACTAAGAGGCTGTTCTCCTATTTACTGTACCTGTACCGTCTGATATACTGAAACAATATTCCTCCTCTTCTCTGGTAAAATCTCAAATTAAGATACCCAATGGATATACTGCGAATACTTCTACCGCAGAATGTCCCAAAAACGATGGTTTCCGTGAGACCGCGACTATTTCTAAGGGGTCTCAAGCACAGAATCCCGGAAGAGCATAGTACAACAGACCTTTTCAACTATACCACGGGGCGATGGCTTTGGAGAGAGAAGGAGCAGCTACTTGAACGATACCGGAGATTCAATGTACGAGAGCTACAGGCCATAACTGCACATACACTGGGCTCTCAAGCATGTGTTTCAATGTCCAAAATTGGAGAAGGCAATTTCAACAAAGTCTTCCGACTTGTAATGGATGACGGAGCAGTGGCAATAGCTCGAATCCCCCATCCAAATGCTGGTCCGCCTCGGTATACGACTATGTCGGAGGTTGCTACTATGGAATTTGTTAGTCTTACCCGCACCGTGAATGTCTGATAAAAAACTGCAAGAGTTGACCCTAGTGCATAGGCAAGATCAATGCTTAAAATACCAGTTCCTAAAGTGTTAGCATGGTCTTCATCTTCTGATAACTCTATAGGTGCAGAGTATATCATTATGGAAGAGGCTAAAGGCACCCAGCTCTCTCAAACATGGGATGAAATGAAATTACATGATAGGAGTGAAATAATCAATGATATTGTTTCCATAGAGCAGAAACTTCTCTCCGTGACCTTTGGCTTGTACGTATAGCCCTGTCACTAGGTTGCAGGAAGCGGTACTAAACATTTGCTTACTAGGTATGGGTCACTATATTTTTCCAAAGACGCTTTCCCTGGCTGTCAGCCGGCAGATATCAGTGGTGACGTCGCACAAGGGATTGAGGATGAGGTTAGAAAGCAATTCGTCATCGGCCCTACGACTCGCCGGGAGTTTTGGGAAAAGGAGCGAGCACTGATGGATCTGGACCGAGGACCTTGTGAGTTACGAACCTGATTTAATTGACATTTGTCCTTGACTAAATGTTTTTTTTTGCTTTGGTGCAGGGAAATCTGCTAGTGGATATGTGGAGTCCATAGCCCATCGCGAGACCGCTTGGATTTCCCAGTATGCACGGAGGGATTCCATCATATCTGGCTACCCCAGGGGCAAAGGAAGTCAAAAATCACCCCAGGACCACCTCGGCTTATTGGAGAAATACCTATCTGTTGTTTCGAGGCTCCTTCCCGATGATACCGAGCTTGTTCGCCCAGCACTCTGGCATCCTGACATCCACGATGGCAATATATTTGTCCAGGATGGGAGGATTTCCAGCATTATTGACTGGCAGTCTGTCTGGATTGCACCTTTGCTTCTCCAGGCCAGAACCCCTCGACTGATCGATTACCATGGAGAGATCCAGTTGAGACTTCCCGAAGACTTTAAAACGCTGCCCGAAGAAGAGAGGGATCGCGTCAGAGACCAGGTCCAACGGTCTATCCAGGTATACCTTTATGAGGACCGGACGGCAAGAGTCAACCCTCTTCTTGACAGGGCAATTAGGAAACCCCATGGGAAAACATTGGCTCAGCTCGTGAGCTTTGCTGGAAACTCATGGGATGACCACATCGTACCCCTGAGGGACACTCTGATTGACGTTGAAAGGTATATAGCAAATTGGTCATGAATTTGGGTGAATGCTAACAGAGATGCCCTAGGGATTGGCCAAAGATCTTTGAAACCGGCGAATGCCCGTATCATTTCTCGCCCGAAGAACGCTCTAAACATAGCGAAGAGTCAAAGGGCTACAGTGCGGCACAGGCTTTCTAGGAGATGCTGCAGAGCCGAGTCCAGTCAGACGGCTGGACCACTGTGGAAGACTTTGACGATGCCGTGGAATACTTCTCCCAGCTGCGAGAAGCCGGACTGGCCAGCTTGGAGGGCGAGGAGAGGGACGAGTTTGAAGCCTCGACTCGGTTTGTAGAGGCCCGCCGGGCAGAGCGAGGATCCAGCGTGTGTGATATTAGCCAGAAGCAGGGCTCGCAACTCATCTAGACAACTAACTAACTACTTGTTGTATTCACTCCGTTACCTAATAGTTAATACAACGCTATTATTGTCTCCCGCCCCTGATGTACTTTAAGCCAAAATGAGGCGACCCGCCTAACACGTCAAGTGTTTGCAGCAGCCTCGGGCGGTTAGCTAAATTTAGTCAAACAACGACCTAAGCTAAATAGCGAGCTAGTCGCAGGTGAGGTCACCGGCCAACCACTCGCCCTGCCTAAAACCTCGACTATCACCGCCGCCGAACCAGACGACCAGACCAGCACGCCAGCAAGCCAGCAAACCCTCGATCCCCTATCCAGCAGAGCCGAAAGGGACCGCAGACATCGCTATCCCGCACCCCCCTTAGGCCGCCAACCCGCGACGACGTCACGCAGCCAGGCAGACGCCGGAGATCTCCCTCACACCCGCAGCCTGTCACATAACTCACCACCACCACCACCACCACCGCAGCACAGCGAGGCCGGCCAAACCGCTCGGCGCCTGCTGCCTTGACTCACAGTCTCGCACACGCCTGCAGTCCCCCTGGCTTGTCCCCGTCCGCCGCATCCCAGGCCCAGATATAAAGGTAGCTACTCAGGCCCTCCGTTCCTCCAATTTGAGCCTCGCTCTCTCCCTGGCTCTTCTAGTTTCTTCTAGTTGTCTGTGTCTCTGTCTTGTCTGGCGCTGCCTGGTCGTACCATCTGTCTCTAACTGCTCCAAGGCTGTCTTGTCTAGCTCCCCCGCTCCCCAACGCCCATCACCGCTGCCAACGTCATATAGCTATCAGTGCACAACGAGAGGGCTTCCCAGAGACAGCAGTGGTCAGCCTGATATCACATCGCATCATGGCTTCCAACCGCACCCGCCGGATCACCAAGGAAATCGCCGATATCCACGCCGACCGCCACTCGCAAATCACGGTAGATCCTATCTCGGAAGATGACCTCACACGCCTAAAGGGCAGCTTTCCCGGGCCGCCTGGCACTGCCTACGAAGGCGGGACGTTCAAGGTCGACATAACAATTCCAACCGAGTACCCGTTCCGTCCGCCGGTTATGAAGTTCGACACTCGGGTCTGGCACCCAAATATCAGTAGTCAGACGGTATATCTCTCCATAATCCGGATTAAAAAAAAAAAAAAAAAAATACAATACTGCGTACAATATCAAGGAAGAGATAATGCTAATGGAATGTCTGCTGTCTAGGGTGCCATCTGCCTGGACACACTCTCGTCTGCCTGGTCACCGGTTTTGACGATAAAATCGGCTCTTCTTTCGCTCCAGTCCCTGCTTAGCACACCCGAGCCCCGAGACCCTCAGGATGCAGAGGTTGCTCGAATGCTTCTCTCAGACCCAAAGGAGTTTGAACGAGTTGCTAGAGAATGGGCTGTGATGCACGCCGGGGCCCCACGGAGACATACTGGAGAAGGCAGCGGCGGCGCTACGGATGAGTCCATTAGGAGAAAGGCTCTCAAGGCTAAAGAAGACGAGCAGCGAGAGAAGCTGGCCGCGTACGTTTTCCGAATTGTACCCTCCCTCATACTCTAGAGTAACTAACATGGCATAGGTACGAGGGATACAACAAGGATCTTATCGACCGTTTCTGCAGCATGGGCTTCGATGTTCCTCGGGTTGTCTCTGCCTTCAAATATGTTGGTATCGACCCCATGGACGGTGACGACTACGAACTCGAAGAAGCATACATGGGCGACATCACCGCCCGTCTCCTCGGCGAGCCATGATATGTATCCTCTCCGTTTTGGACAAAACTGCCTCTATTTTCCCTTTCTTTCCTTTCCTTCCCTATTTATTTCTTTTAACTCCATTGACCACATTATATCATCTATCATCCTTACCTACTTCCTTACATACATCCTTCCCAGCATTTCTGTTTCTTGTCCCTTTTTTTTTTTTATTTCTGTTCCTTATTTTTCTCTGTCTCATCACCGCTCCCATATACTACCCTCCCCTAGCAACCCCCCATATATTTCCCCTTGTTTTTCATTTCTTTGACTATCTGCCAATTGAGTAATTGGAACTGTTCCGCAAGGAGGAGAAGAGAAGGAAAGCGGATGGAGAGAAAAGGGGCCGAGGAGAGAGGGAGAGAGAGAGAGAGCATAAGGTGGTGTCTGGCGATGGATCAACAAGACTGGCGTTATAGCGCGGAGCAAAGGCTTTTGTGTGGAAACTAAATAGGTGCTTCAATCCCAAATCACATTCAACTACCCTCATCATACTCTATATTCATTGTTTTTCTATATAGCTAGGTAGAGTTATATGGTGATAGGATGTTGGATGTCTGGAGTCGATAGTCGTCACTATTTAGCTTCCGCGCAAAAGTGTAATTATTTATTTTACTTCCGCCTCCAAAGCAAAAAGCTCCAGGCTTGCATACTCAAATACATCGTCACCACGGCTTTCAGCTTCACTCAAGGCGCAGCTTACTGAGATACTTCCATATACCTGTGCCTTTGTCTTCTTTTACACGTCTGATCGCTACGTTGTTCACACCACGAGTCAGCTGGATATAGCTCTCTAAGCTCAACTTCCAACCATGCTAGAAGACGACATATACCGAACCTCTACGCAATTTCGCCTCTGGTCCTTCACAGAAGACTCCCTCCGATCAATCCGAGCTAATACTAATGCCGTTGCAAGCGAGCGAGTTCGTGCTGCCGTCCGCCGGGCCAGAGAAGCTCGACAACAAGCCTCCGCAGCTCCAACACCAGACCAAGGCACACCAAATCCGAACCCAAATGATGCTGATAGAGCCGTTACGCCAGCTCGAACAGGAGCAGGAAGCGAGCAGGAGATAGAATGTCTTACGCCAGATGAGGAGTTTGAGCTGGTACAGTACTTTTGCGAGAAGACCATGGAGTTGGGAGACGAATATAAACCGCCTCTGCCTACAACAGTAAGGGTATGTATAGCCTCCACGCATCCCAAAGTTATACCAAGGCTAACAGATGATAAAAAAAAAAGGCGACTGCGATTCAATACCTTCGACGATTCTACCTTACGAATTCCCCAATGACCTACCACCCGAAATCTATCATGCCGTGTGCGCTCTTCCTAGCTACAAAGACGGATAACTTCTACATGTCCCTCCGGTCATTTACAGAACACATACCCAATTCGACGATGGAAAGTATAATTGCTCCCGAGTTCCTGCTCACACAGGGCCTACGGTTTACGTTTGACGTACGCCACCCATTCCGTGGATTAGAGGGCGGGATGATGGAGTTGAATGCGATTGCAAAGGGAGAAGCTACACCAGGACCCCATCTTCTAGGACTTACTCCAGCTGGACTTCAGAAATCCATCCAGTCACTTCCACCTCCGCCTACTTCGATAGCTGGGCCAGTACCTGCTTCGCCTCTAGCTACCCGTTTAGCAAAAGTACACCACAATACCAGAGAGATCCTTAAGCACTCTGCACAAATGACAGATGCATATTTCCTTTATACCCCTTCACAGATATGGATATCTGCATTACTCATTGCCGATAGACCACTAGCTGAGTTCTACCTTGAAACAAAGCTGGGCCCGGCCAACACATCCCCTACTTCCTCAACTTCGCCTTCAGACATGCTCTCCAATATACACGCCAAACTTATTCCCGTCCTACAGTCCTGCAGCGACCTACTTACCTCTTACATACAAAATAATGGAACATCAAGCACCGTTCCCGGCTCAGCACGGATGAAGAGGCTCAAGCTGATAGGGAAAAAGCTATTTCACTGCCAGAACCCGGAAAGAGAAGATCTCGTTGCATTGAACAGGTTGCAGAAAGCGGGTGGTTCGGCTGTCCCCACCGGAGCTAATACCCCTTCAGAACCAGTTGCTGCTCCGGCTTCAGTTAACGTAGCTGCTATGAGTGAGGAGCAAGACGTGGAAAATGATATAGATCGCGCCGCTAAAAAGCGCAAATTGGAGGGTGAAAGGCTCGGGGGAATGGACTCTCCGTTCGGAGGGGAGCTGAAGAGGGGATGATTCATATATATATATATATATATATATATTTATATACTATATGGATAATGATAGTAACCGCCAGAATAAAACGATGCATTGGTGTTTTGGATGACCAGGGCCTTCGAGGACTCGCGTTCTACCCACGAGCTCACAGTATCGTTGTGTAAGCTTAAATCACTACCATGGTTCTACGAAAGTTTACCAACTTGAGAGCAGGACGATGGTATAAAGAAAGTAGTAAGTAACCTTTCATTTTATCAATCAACCTTTTCTATTACCTTGCCATTTCATGAAGGCAAATAAATATAGAAGCCTCCTCCCTCGGAGCAGATGCAAAAAATAAGTCAAACGAAGGGATAGAAAACATCAGTTTTAAAGTCTAAACAATCCCAGTTCCCATGTGCGCAAGTCGATTTCGATGCGCTAACCAGGGGAAAGGCCCATTTACATAACAATAACAGGTCAAGGGAGAATAAAACCATTCGTACCACCGAGACCGTGACGATAAGAGGAACATGGCAAAAGATTTTTAAGCAAGGCCGTTAGTTGTGGATGGTTGCGTTTTGGGTAGTCAAGAAAAACAGTAAATAAATGGGGAATCAAGCAGGAAACGAACAAGCCTCCGGTTATCGGCATTTAGACTTGGCCGGCGTTGATCATCTTCTTTCGGAGGTGGTTCTTGTACTCGCCGATAGTACCATCCCATCGGCGGACAGTCTTGTTCTCGCACACCATGATGTCTTTGGCAATCTTGTCGAGGAGTCTAGATGATAACGTTAGTATCTTGATATTAACAAATGAAATCAATTGGTAGGGATGGAATCTTACCTGAAGTCGTGAGAAACGACAACGACACCGCCACTGAAAGCATTGATAGCATCAGCCAAACTGTCAATGGTGGGGATATCCAATCCGTTAGTAGGTTCGTCGAGCAACAGCATGTTGGGACTCTCAATGGCCAAGATAGCAAAGACGATTCTGCTCTTCTGACCCTCAGAAAGAGTTCCCATAAGGGCAGTCTGAGATTCACCAGAAAGGCCATATCGGCCTAGCTGTTGACGCCAGTACTGATAATCTTGACTCTTCTCGGAATACTTGTCACGAACGAAGTCGAGAGCACTCTTGGTCAGGTCGAGCTGCTCAGCGGAGTGCTGACTGTACATGCCGAGCTTCAAGTGGGTATGACGGGTGACAATACCCGATGTGGGAGCAAGCTTGCCAGTCATGATACGAAGAAGAGTAGACTTTCCAACACCATTAGGGCCGACAAGGGCGGTTCGAGAGTCCATGTCTACACCAAAGTCGAGGTTCTCATACAGGTTGTCCTTCGCATCACCTGAGTAGGAGAATGTGACGTCGTCGAAGGAAAGGACTGGTGGAGGTAGCTTCTCAACATCTGCAAATCTGAAGGTGAAGACCTTGTCAGGGATAACAGGCTGGATGAAACCATCGGCTTCCATCTTGTCGAGAATCTTTTGTCGGGATTTAGCTTGTCGCACCAAGTTGGCGTATGTACCGGCGGATGCAATGAATTTCTTGATGTGAGCGATTTCTTCTTGCTGCTTGTGGTAGGCCTTCATCTGGTTGGTTTCCTGCTCAGCTCGAGTCTTTTGATAGGAATCGTAGTTTCCACCATAGTACATAAGCTGCTTCATTCGCATATCAATCATGGTTGTGCAGACACCGTTCAGGAAATCCATACTGTGGGAGACGAGGATGAGGGTTCGATCCCATTTCTTTAGGTATTCTTCCAACCACACGCAAGCCTCAAGGTCAAGATGGGCAGTGGGGTCGTCGAGGAGAAGCAAAGATGGCTTGACGAACAAAGCTTTGGCCAAAGCAACACGCATTCTCCAACCACCAGACATATCCTTGGTCATCTTCTTGATGGTGACCTTGTTGAAGCCGAGACCAGTAAGGATGAGAGATGCTCGGGTGTGGAAAGTAGATGGGTCCATGCCGTCCATTCGCTGCGACACTAATCAGCGTATATTCTCTCTTTAAATAATGTAACCTACTTACCTCGTAGATATCCTCAAGGACAGGTGAATCTGGTCCCTCGTTTTCCAAAACCTCTTCGGCGAGTTTCTCCAGTCGGTCCAGCTCGTTCTGTGCCTCTGTAACCACCCAGTCCAAAGCTCCGAGATCACTTGGGGGAGCACCCTCATTGAGTAGATAGATATCAATGTGCTCTGGGATGGGGAACTCTCTCTTGGAAATGGCCTTTAGAAGAGTGGATTTACCGCATCCGTTCTCTCCGAGAAGGCCGTATCGTTTGCCGTAAGTGAGTTCAAGAGTAGAGTCGGTGATAAGGACTCGTCCGTGGAACACAAGTGAGATGGAAGACATTTTAACATCTCTGCTGGATGGGACAGATGCCAAAACACCGGTAGTGACACGATCTGACAGTCCGAACTTGTCCGTCTGCTCTGTTAATTTCTTGACATCGGACATCTTGGCGGCGCTGGTGCCGCCCTCCTCCGCATCATCACCATTAACAGAAGAAGCGGTGGAGACATTTTTGGAGTTGGCCTTCGATGACAGCTTGGAGGTGGCTGTCTTTTTCTTATCCCCTTCAGCGGCACGTTTGGCCTGGCGGGCGGCTTTGGATGCAGAGACCATCTTTGCTAGGTAATATTTCCTCTTATTTAGATTAGCTGGATATTGATATTAGGTCTATATCGTGAATATCAAAGGTCAGTAATATGCTAGATATGCCTGGTAGATGCAGTCTCATATGCCTGATCTGTAGCCAGATCATCAAGAGTGAGGAATAAAAATCAATATTATAGCAGAAGGAGAAGAACAAACCGATAGTGGGGGGTTTTTGACGCCTTATCGATAGGAAGCCCTAAGAGTGGGATGAACAGCAGTCTATTGAAAAATAAAGAAATAGGAGAAAAAGCTGGGCTGGCAGGGGCGGTCCTGGGTATCCAGACGGCCCTATTCTATCCCACAATATAAAGCTGAAGAACAAGTCGCCTGCGATGCGATGACTTGCTGTTGCTGCTGAGGGAGGATGAAGATGACGAGTTTGACGTGGAAAAAAAAGTCGAACGTGAAAAGTCTAAGACGTCAGGGCTTATGTAAACAAATTCTACAAATTCTCATTGGCTGATAGTCACGTGAGCATAACATCATCGACCTGGACTATACTCTGTACCTGAGATTTTTAGGGTTTTCCAGTCAGAGGCAATACAATTTATATAATACCTGTACATTGGTAGAGTAATATTACTCTAAGTCAATAGCTATAATGTAAATATGATTTATATATACGCTTATGATGCCGTGTCATGGTCGATGTGGCGGCAACCATGACGTTCGCCACTGTTGTTGCTGACTAACATACTCTAACTAGTTTGGGTTAGGTTGCTACTAGTGTAAACTCTGTTTAACGCCAACCTTAAAAAAAAAAAAGGAGGCTCTCGACCTCCTCTCAAGCCTCTCAAGACTCTCAAGGCTCCCGAGAATTTGATACCCTGCCCTGCTGCCCACGGAACTACGTTTCATATATCGAGATCATGATTGATGTTGAAAAAAGGAATGGTTTGGTCTGTTATAAACTCTTGACTAACGAAAACTATCTAAATTTACCCAAGCTCCCTACCGAAATCTAATACCTCTCTCCTGACACAACAACACGGATAAGCACATTCAGTGTAGGCCCTCCAGATAACTACATGACAGTCTAATCGCATGTATAGAGTGTGATTTACTCAGTCGCCCCAGTGAGCCGAAGATTCACTATTGTGCTGGCACTTGGGTAGATAAACGACCTCCACGTAAACCAACGCGGAGCCTTCTTGTCTGCCAACTCCATGTCATACTTGGTGAGATATAGCCCAAGGATTATTTTCATGACTGCTGCGGCGTAGAATCTCCCGGGGCTACAAATGATTACAAACCATTAGTTCCATTCGTCATGGTGATACCTAGGTTTTGAAGCTGAACGGGAACACTTACCATGCCATGCGTCCAGTGCCCCAGAGCTGCGAGTTGCTAGTATCTGTAAGCTGCGAGGGTTTCGCAGTCTTAGGTATATTAAACCCTGGCTGTTCGAGGTCTGCGAGTACCCTTGGGTCGACGAATCGGACACCGTGGAAGTCGAGTGGCTTTTCGAAATTGGCGGGATCCCTCGCCATCGCTCGCTGCGGAGTACAGAAGCATTCTCCGATCTCAATTCTGGTCCCGTCTGATAACTGGAATGGCTGCAATGCCTGTCGACGCGTGCTCACTATTAGGCGGTGGACAACAGGTTAATACCATCCAAGTGAAGTTTTGGGCCAAAGACATATCTCATAAGATACAAAGGAAACATCAGGGTGCTTACTTGACTCAACTGGGGTTAGACGGGCAGACTCCCTGATAAAACTATCAAGGAGTGGTAGACCTTTTCCTGTTTTTTCAAAAGTCTCCCATTCCGGGCCTTGGAGTTCCTTTCGAAGCGGTTCAACATATTCCGGATGGAGACAAATATCATGCACTGCATAGCAAATGGTCTATAGAGTGCTAGTCAGCAAGACTTATCATGTATGAGCAAGAAACTGCCAACTTACTGTTGTGAGGACATGAACTGATCCGAACCAAAGTGCCATCAGTTCATGCACTATTCTCTCAGCAGACCATGGTTTTTGCGTTGGCGAACATTCCATCACCCATTGAATGCAGTCTTTCTGATCTGCCATCAGCAACGGCGAGCATCTACTAGAGAGAAACTTTTCACTCACATGGGAAGGAGTCTTATGCCCTAGCCGTTTCAGGGCCCTTTCTCGAAGCCTCTCCTCAGTAACCGGTATTAAGGTACTGTGAAGGACATCGTGGGACCGGAAGTGCCTTGCCAGGAGCTTTCCAACTATACTAAAATGGCCACAGGTTAGAGAGATCTTAGTTTCCTGTCATGGGTTCGAACTCACGGAACAAGAGAGCTTGGCAGAAGACGCAGAATTTCAGCAATCAGAAGGGTGTTCTCGATGAAGTCAATTGCAGCCTTCATGAACTGCTTGTCCTGGGCTAATACCCTTTGTCAGTCAAAGTAGGTTTAAACAGTGGCTTAGGGGACATAAAAATTACCAAGCTCTGCTCCAAAAAATGCCAAAGCATTGGAGTAAGCAACAGCTTCCTTAACCATCGGATACAGTGGTGCAGCTTTGGCCCCTATCGAAATTGTCAGCAACTGCTTTTATTTATACCAAGGGCTATGTCATCCCTCGTTTCCCTTACCGTTTGTGGCCGGGAGCGAATCATGAAAGGTGTCAAACATCTTGGAGACGGCCGCTCGAATATCCGGAATCAGGTTCGGCACATTGTTTGTTAGGAGGGAACGGAGAGTCCGGACCAGCGGTGTACCGTCAACGCCTCTTTTATCAAACCAGTTGAAGTTGTTCATTGTGTATTTTGGCTGGAGCATCTGCTTTGCCGCTGCCTGAAGGGACAGAACGTTGTCCGAGGCAGCATCAATCTCCTTGATGTGCTCAGCTGAAGATACAAACACATATCGAGCGTCGGGAGCAAGGACCTCATATGGAGATCCTTTGGCCTAGGCCACATATCAGCTTAATCCATATGTTGTCGCACTTTACTTGGTGAACACTTACTTTGTCATATCCGGCCTGAATGATGTTAGGACCATCCAGAAGAAATCGCCAGGCTTTGACACGCTTTGATACGATTGAAATTGGAAAGGAAATCGATGATAGGAGACAAGACTTGAGCTCCTCTCGAGCCAGCAAGAAGGCAGATAGGGCTAAGATGATGCTCCCCAGTGGAATAGCCACCAAGGCATCCATGCTATGGAGTAAAACCATTGTGTTGATACGGTTATCGTGAGGTTCAAAAAGCTATTGCTCTTTCTATATATAATAGACTCTGCTGGTTTGGATTTCAGAGTCCTTTACCAGCTAGACTTGCGTCGTTATATGTTCTAGCAGCTTAGCCCTCTACAGCTGTACAGCCCACCCAGAGTACAGCCTCAATTCTCCCTACATGGTGCCAATGACTGTCGAAAGCATCTGACGACGAAGATAGGCTGCTGCTCCACAGCCTTGCGTAGTTCTGGGATTGATTAAGGGGTATGTACTCCCTGCGTATATCACAGCGAGTTGGTATTCTGATTCCACGGTTTGCGGCGCGGCTCAATAGTAATATCGATAGCCTACTGAGAGGTGTATTGTCTCGGGTAAGTCATGTTCACAATCCTACAGTTCATCCTTGCCTTTGTATAACCTGCATGACTGGCACCAATCCGCAAAAGGCTGACCATCTTTTCCAACCCAGGATATGCCAAGCTATGCCGCATTATCCGCCTGCAGGGTAACCATTTCACCCTTGACTGTTGGGGGTTGTTGCAAGGCTGGACTGTCCACCGTTTGTATAGTTAAATGGTACTCCCCATTTTCCCAGGGCAGAACATTTATGGCTTAGTGATGAGTGTAACCGCCTAATTTTCCGGGCTGGCTGTTTCCCGCAGACTCTTGAATCGGTTTCTCTCCTTGCTTTGCTTTGACTAGATATCCTCTTCAACCAACATCCAGCGATGGATCCTTCAAAGACACCTCTTGCGCCCAATCCAAGCGGCGGGCCATCTAACTTTGTGGACCCTCCCACACTTGACTCGGCCATTCTCTCACTTGGCGTCGTTCTCATCTCCATTAGCATGCTATGCCTTACGATACGCCTCATAACCAACTATAAACATACAGGCAGATTAGGCCCGGATGATTGTGTGTGAGCTCCTACACTGATATAAATCCCTATCATATAACTAACCGCTGCTGTGATTTCTAAGATCTGTGCGTTTTTGGTGAAGCAGCCGCCATTGGATACTGGGCAATAATTGAATCTGGTAACCTTTGCTATATCCTCTTCATCATGCAGAATACAATAGGCTAACAGATAGCTAGTTACTTTAGATGGTGTTGCAAGGCATTCATGGGATGTCCCTGCCTCTGTAGTAACCAAGTCGTTTATCAAGGTGAGCTCCTATAACTTTCAAGTGTAGAAGCAACCTCAGCTAACTGTGTAAATTAGAGACAATTTGCACAACAAATGATAGTTGCTCCTGCCTTGTGGGCGACAAAATCCGCAGTTCTAGTTCTTTACATCCGTATCTTCAGCTCCGTACGATGGATATCCCGGGTCTCCTACGGACTGATTGTCCTCACGTTCCTCGTTTATGGTATCAATATCATTCTGGCTACAGTATACTGTCTCCCTAGAAACGGGGCTCCTTGGGATGCCACTGCCTTTGCGAGGTGTGCAGAACCGGTTACTCTTGCTATATTTATCGGATCTTTTACGGTTCTCGCGGACTTTATAATCTTTCTCCTGCCTTTTCCTATCATCCGCAAGCTACAGATGGCCCAAGCGAAAAAAGTTGGGCTGGCGATTGTGTTTTTGGTTGGCTTTACGTATGTTATAGTCTGCGACATTCCCCAAGATTATTCACTAACTTGGTTGTCTATAGAACCGTTATCATGAGTATAACTTCCCTTGGTTTCCGGATTCAATTGTTTCTTGGTGAAGATCCAGTATGGAATGGACTCTGTATTTCACTTACAACGTGAGTTAGCTTAAGAGAACCCCCGGTTTACCCTTTCTATAACTATGTGGTTAAAGTCTAGATGCTGACTGAGTACTAGGTTCGCAGAGTTATTTGGAACAGTTATCGTGAGCTGTGCACCGGCTATATATTCATTCTGGCTGAATATTGTACAGCCCAGCACAGTATATTCCACCCTTCGATCAAGGCTGCTTATAAGCAAGACAAAGTCCAACCCAGACAACCAGTTTGCGGATGAAGAGAGGATTGAGTTGCCGTCAAAGCTGAGAAACGGCCATGACAGCTGGCCAGGTGACTCCGTAGATGGCCTTGGAGGCAAGACAGGACCCTTCACCAGGATTTACTCGTCCTCCTCTTCCTCTATTCCGATGAAAAATGCCATCTCCAAAGCAATCCATATATCCCAGAGTCAAGCTGGACCAGATACACCACCACATTAAGGACATGAGTTAAATTTCAGGGCATTTCAATGGAGGAGGCGTCAAATTGAGCAGGCCAGACAGCTAGTTATTGATCAAGATTGCATTTCTAGTTAAGCCAATACACTGTACAACTATATTCTTGCTATTGTGATGGAGATCAGGGGGTCTTTGCCGGCAAAGTTGTAGCTAGCATATCAACCCCTTGCTTCCACTGACCACGAAGAACCCGGGGGCCAGGGGGAGCTTGCTGTCCCGTTGGAAATATAAAATGCTAACTAACTATATGCAGGGTAACTCCAGCGCCAAGGCATGGGCTCTGAGCTGGTGTTGGTGATCTTTCTTTGTTCCACGCCGCAAGTGACGCTGCTCCGGTCCGGATGGTTATATATAGAGCGTTGATATCATCCATCTTCCCAGCTTCATCCTCCTCCTCCTGCACAAACCCAACCACAGTCAGTCAGCTAGTTAGCCAGCCAACACTACCTTGTCCTCTTGATTCACTAGGATAATCCACCCACGATGTTCGAACACTTTACCGCATGGCACCTCCCGCCGCTCTTCGTGGCCACAGCCACCACCTTCGGCGGCCTGATGCCCTTCTGGAACGCTGCCTACGCCATCGAGGAATTCGGCCTGCCAAAGCGCATTGCAGTCTCCAAGGAAGCGCAGGCCATCATGATCACCGCCTCAGGCCGAACCACCGCCCTTGGTCTCGCGCTGTTCACCTTTTACTCCCAAAACAAGCTCCGCGAAGTCGACACGATCATGTTCATTCTAGGCTATCTCGGGCTCGTGGACGGCTATGTGTGCTGGCGCGAGGGTGTGCCGGGCAAGGCTGTCTTTCGAACCGTCTCCGGCCTGTTGATCGCCGCCTGGGGCTGGTTCAGCATGACGAGCTGAAAGTGAGACTGAGATGACAGGCGTTGGAATTGCGATTAGGGCGGGCTGCCAATTAAACTACTGGCCTAGAAGCAAATGTCATGCATGCATGGATGGATCACGGATGGGCGATGGATGGTTGATTGGCGGCGGCTCCGGGTTGTACCAACTGAGACATCATAAGCCTGCCAACTCTTGCTAACTGTTATCATTCCTTTGTTCTTGTGGCCGTTGTCCTTGTCCCTGCTCTCGACCTTGCTGTTAATATATCTCGGTGCATTTGTCGCTTTCAGCTGGTTGTTTTCTCCCCCGTAGCTAGTCACTTGTCCCAGTCATGTCCTCAGCCTTGCATGAAGATCCCAACTCTCCCCCTGGTCTATAAGCACAGCAAAGCACAGGCTTGCCAACATTTATGCAGTGTACATGTGCGAGGACCGGGTTAATTAGCTAGATAGGCTACTAGTTATGCTGTGTTGCTCTGGCAAGCATGCGTTGAAGTCAAATACCCCGTTGTGGCCCGAGCCTTGCGGCTACGGATTCAATATACCCAGTCAAATAACTATGTCCATCTCACTACCGTGCCGTTTGATTACAACTGCTGGCCTTATAAAAGTGCAGTTGCCCTTGTCCCGCCATATTTCACCCTCTGGCTTGGTGACCATCCCCCATAGCGCTCTTACATCTCCCTCGAGATGGGCATAGTTCCGATGGAGGAGACATCTCCTCCTCCAGCCAACACAGCCCCTGTGTCCATCTCACATACGGCTATCTCACCAGAGAAGGATGGCAAAGTCCAGGTTGAAACTCCCCAGGCATTCACGAGATCCTGGCGCATCTGGTGCATATTCTCTGCCCTTTGCTTGCTGTCCTTCATGTCTGCCGTTGATGCAACCATCATAACCACATCTCTCCCTACTATAGCCCGAGAAATCGGCGGAGCAGAGAAATACGTCTGGGTCGCAAACTCGTTTCTATTTGCAACCACCGTCCCCCAGCCCCTTTTCGGCCAGATAGCTAACATTTTCGGCCGTCGCAATCCGCTTCTGGTTGCCATCGCTCTCTTTGCTCTGGGGAGCGGCATCTCAGGCGGCGCAAAGAATGTAGGCATGTTGATTGCCGGGCGTACGATTCAAGGTCTTGGATCAGGAGGACTGTACGTTCTGTCTGACATTGTCATTTGTGATATCATCCCTCCGCGGCACAGGGGCCCGTACTTGAGTGCTGTGCTATCGACCGCCGCAATCGGCACAACCATTGGTCCCATCATCGGAGGTAAACTTGCTCAGGTCAATTGGCGGTGGATTTTCTATATCAACCTTCCCATAGGCGGCCTGGGCCTCATCGTCATTCTCTTCTTCCTGAATGTCCGATATAAGACAAGCCCGACATGGGCCCATGCATTGGCTCGCGTCGACTTCCTAGGCAACGCCATCTTTATCCCGTCGATGGTTGCGGTTTTCTTTGGTCTTATCACCGGCGGGAGTGTCTACCCGTGGGGATCGTGGCGGACCATCCTCCCCTTGGTTCTTGGAGTGCTAGGATGGATTATATTCCACATTCACCAGGCCTCGGCCATTTGCAAGGAGCCCAGTATGCCACCGAGGCTGTTTCAACATCGTACATCGGCAGCCAGCTTGGTCATTATCTTCTTGGGTGCGATTATCCTGCAGGCCATCTCCTACTTCCTCCCCGTATATTTCCAGTCGGTCAAGGGAACGTCGCCTTTGATATCGGGAGTGAACTTCTTACCCTTTGCCCTCGCCATTATCCCCTTTGGTGGACTAACTGGTGTATTCATGTCGAAAACCGGAATGTACATACCCTTACACTGGCTGGGCTTCACATTAAGCGCTGTTGGTGCCGGCATGCTGTCAACATTGAACGAGTCATCTAGCACTGGCGCTTGGGTAGGGTATCAGATTCTTGCGTCTGGAGGCACAGGAATCATCTTCACTGCTACTTTGCCGTCCACCTTGGCTCCGCTCCCAGAGTCTGACGTAGCTGTTGCAACGGGGACCTACTCATTCGTCCGCTCGTTTGGTCTGGTTTGGGGTGCAACAATGGCATCCGTCGTGTTCAATGGCCAGGTAAACTCGCATATAAACTTGATCACCGATACAGCAATCCAGGCGCTCTTGAAGGACGGTGCTGCCTATTCATACGCGAGTGGCGGACACCTTAAGATGCTGCCAGCTGATTCACGCAGCCAGGTCATCGATGTATACGTTAAGGCGCTGGCAGTCGTGTGGCAGGTGATTGCTGCCATTGCTGGCCTGGGATTTCTCTGTGGATTTATAGAGAAACATGTTGATCTTCGTAAAGAGCATGAGACGGAGTTTGGCCTTGCCGATAAAGCTCAATCTAGCTCCGAAAGTGAGATAGAGAAAGGGGTATTCCCCCGTGAAGGAGAAAGAAAAGAATGATATAAATATTTAACTAGTAACTAGAGCAAGATTTAGAGACTTTCTTTTTCTCTCCTATTCTTAGCAAGCCAATTAACTACAAGTTCGAGTTATAACTAAAGTGGCTCAATTTGAGTCGACTCATGTAAAGCTTGGTCAAACCAGGGGCGCTTTGATAACTACTAACTAGCTAGTAACTGGCTAAGCTAGTCTAATAACTCTATGTATAAAAGAAGTAGAAGTAACAAGAGCAGATGAAGGTTTAAAGAAAGTAGAAAAGAACAGCATGAGGAAAAGAGAAGAGAAATCTAGTTTTGTCTGGTTTCGTCTGCTTTTTCTTTTTCATCGGTTGAAGCGTCTTTCTCGTCTATGTCTATGATACGTCTACTAAGTCGTTCGAGGAAGTCATATTCAGCGGCAGTGAGCGTGATGGATCCTGATATATCGACTTGACCAGGGCTGATGATGATCTGGTCTACAGGCTGCTTATCATTGCCTTCGTCAGGGGGCGATTCGTCGGATTGGTCAGGGTGGACAGTCTCCTCTGACGTTGAAGACTCCAGGTCTGCCGCCTTTGGTGGGATAAGACTGACAGGAGTCCACCAGTGCGTGGGGAAACGCCGTTCGATATTGTTGAATATCAGAGCTGTAACAAGAATGAGCATGCAGGCAAGAAGGACGACAGGCAGGAGAAACCAGCCGAGGTGCCTTGTCCTGGGGTCAACGGCCGAGAGCAGAGCTGTTGCGCCTGCTGGAGGATGGACGGTTTTTGTGAGAGCCATCACCAGCGTGGCAGCAGCACAGCACAGCGGACCAGCTATCCAGTAGAGCTCCTCATGACGCGGGTGGAGGCCAAATAGCTTTGTGATCCCGACACCGACAACAGCTGCCAGGAAGTGTCCAAGGATGGCATTCCTGGGCTGTGCGAGGGGTGATTCTATAGCACAATATGCAAGCACGGCTGCAGCTCCCTAACCCAGCCGAAAAGGCGTCTTTGGTCAGTTGATCAGGGGGTTCATAGTCAAAGAGGGCATTGAGATAGTACATACGAAACTGCCAACTACGAGGGGAGCATCATGTTGTTTGAAAGAAGGGATATGTTGAGATATTCCGGTAATGGTCAACAAGCCGCAGAAGACGCCAACGAACGTCCAAAATATAACGACCAGCGTCCCGAGCTTGGGCACTGCTTCACGTCTATGGCCGAGGAAATGGGCCACAGGATATGGATATCGGTGCCATCGGGGGTGCGGGATGAACCGGTTGAGGAAGATATCGATATCGATCTCTAGCCTCCTGAGATCGTTGAGGTTCATTGGCGAGAACACTTTTTTTTATAACAGCAAACAATGGCCGCCCATGAAAAGAGTAACTATGTCCAGCAAGGAAACAGACGAGGAAAAGGAGACAGCGTCTATAGACACATGGAAAGAAAAGAATCGAAAGAAATCAGAGTCTCTCTCTATATAGTGACTTGACTTGCCCCCGGAGCCTGTTATCATGAGACGCCCGATTTGACAGCCAACCGAGCGACCCTTTTGCCTCCCAGCGTCAAGCACACGCTGGAAAGAAGGATCCGAGAGAGAGAGAGAGAGGCAGAGGGAGAGAGAGACCAGCTAAATATAACCAAGCACCAGAGAAAAGACGGGGTATATCATCATCGAGGACAAGCCAGCGCCGGCTTCGCCAACTCTGCCAGTCTCTAACTAATTTCTGCGATGTTTCTCGCCTTCTGGCCGTGGGACTATTTCTCCGCGGAAGGCCGGGAAGCTGGCCGGTCCGTCTTGCCGGTACAAGCCTCGTAAACCAGTGGAAGCCAGTGGAAGCCATCGGGGGGTCTTCTGGTACTTGATATCTCGTATAAAAACTGGTGGCTGGCGAAGTATCTGATGCGCAGGAAAAGCTTGGTTGGCGAAGCTTTGCAGGGTATCCGCCCGTAAAATTACAATACCGCGGCAAAACGTTCACCTCCCTGTTGTTGATCGACTTCCACCATGCTGCTCCTTCGACTTCAACGACCGCAACGACAAGCAGGAAGATAAAACAGCAGGGCATCAGACATGGGGAACGCCGTCCTGGATCCCTACTCACTCTGTGTGTAAGTATTCGACAGGCCAGACTGATTGATGACGACGACGGTGGTATCCCTGTCTCGACGACGCCAGAGCTGACCCCCTTATCCCATCCATCGACGGCACATCCTTCGCTGCAACGATAAGTCGTCTATTAACAGCTAAAGGCTTTAGCAGCTGAGATTCTAGGTGTCTATATATTGGTTATATACTCGAATAAGCAGCCGTTTCTCGGCATGGGCTCCGTTGTGACGGCCTGTAGAGTGCCCTGTGAAACGGACTTTGCACGACCCTAGCCTTCCTAACCCAACACCCATGGACATCAAACTTATATCGGCCCCTGAGACAGATGGAGACAGCTGCTTTACTGCATATGGTGCTGATGTGATTTAAGCTTGATAATCCCTGATCACACGATTCACCCGAAGAGCGGGAAAGATGGATTATGATTAGTTCTACTAACTATGTATACAAGAAAACGCTTCAGCCAAAAATATTTTAGCACCAGGCTAGACTCTGTGTTCGCTCGCCTTTTCCGACGGGGTGTCCATACGAACATATACGTCTGTCGTACACATTATCCCTGGAAGTGCGCCTCGTTGTGTCTCGCTGCCGTTTCGAAGTGCGCCGTTGCTCTGAGAATCCTTGAGGAAAGGAGGCAGATGATAAGACCCTGGAGATGATACCCTGGAAGCGCTAACTTCAACTTTATATTCACACGCTGATGCCGATGACAATGCCGGCCCACTGCTGCCCACCCTTGCACTGCAGTGTGGCCCTCTTTTCTTGCCGTCGTAGCTGTCGATTGGACTGAGCCGGTCGTCGTCAAACGTTAGTCTGTTCGGTGCGTATTTGGATATCGAGATCATTCGTATCCTAGAACCGTCGCCGGGACTGGTTGAGGAGGTGTCATCATAATCAATATTGTGGCCGCCATTGCCGTACCGACTGACGAATATTGCATCGCTGTAGCTCTCGAATAAGGGGCGAAGGGTGTGTATTGAACATGCTATCGTGGCGATATGGAGCTCGAGTCTAAGACGAGGATCAGTATTTGGTACTGCGTGGATAAATATGTGGGTTACGATAACATACGTGCTCAGGAGGAAGAAGATATCACCCCTGGATAAGTGTTAGTCTCTCACTTATCATAACGTCAAGGTGGAAGGCTCAAGACATACCGATACCCGCTGTCTAGATATACACTGAGTATAGAATGAGTCATCTTGATAATGGCTACACAGCACCCCCTAAAACACGAATGTCAGTATATGTTCTTCCCTGTTGTCAACTGCAGCAGATGCAAACATACAGATACCCCAATCCCACAATGCCAGCAAGGACAACGCCTGCACGCCGTACTAGGCTCCTGGGAGGGAAATAGTAAAGCGGTAGATTAGTGAGAATCAAGTCTGTCAAAACATCCTGTCCTGTTGATCCCGTCAAAAAATCAACCTCGTCAGCTCTGTGAATGTGGCTATCCGAAATCTAGGACTCAACGAACCACACATGACCACACTGATAACGGACATCGCCTTGCTCCCAATGCAAGTTTCGTCAGACATGGAGTACGTCCAGTATACCTTGATGGGTCGACATCGAAAGATAAATGGGCCAAGCCGCGATATGGTCGTCACTATAACGAGTCCTTTGGGGTTTCTTTTTTTAAGCATGACTGAATATAAGGATATAGAGGGCAGTGAGGTCTTACCAATTAAACCCTTGACCAGCAGCAAACAGCCCTTTGGCTGCGGTACTCGAAGAAACTGGAAACATATTGCCACTTTGACCATCGACTTGGCTACTATCAGGAATATCCAATGGATGTATGATATCAAGGCTAATCTCTCAATGTCAGGAATCGACATGTCATCCGTATATTTACCAAGGCCATGCCGTGACTCGTCTACCAAAAATGCCATGCACACAAAGGAGAATATCTACCAAAAGCACACATATCAGCCGTCAAAAAATAAAATAAAATAAAATAAAACAGTCGCAAAGGTTCTACCTACCGTCGCCACGACCAGCAGACCATCATCCGGCCTACAACATCTTAGTAGGCTGAACCGAGTATAGCACCGGAGCATGATAATCAGAAACGAGAGCGCGGAGAAGATGCCGGCTGTGCTTAGGATCATAGCTGATTTGCTGCCATGACTAAAGGTTCGCTCAAACGCAAAGTCTCGCTGGCTGCGAGCGACGTGAAGGCTGGACAGCAGGCCTTGTGTAGAGACCGGCAATCCCATACTGTCCAGCCATGAACATGAACCGGAGAGCAGTTTGAGGTATGTATGGATGTAAGGTAAGATTATCGTGGTCTCATGGCCAAGTGAGAGGACAGGCGGAAGGCAAAGAGATCAAATAACACGGAGAAGAGAGAGGGAGAGGGAGAGAAAAGGAAGAATATGTAAAAGATGTTATGCTGCAGCAGTTATATATATATAATATATACGGAGTATGCAGGCTATGTATATATATCGAGGCTGAAGACGGTTCTGGTCCTAGTGATAGCGATAATGACGGTGCATGAGAAACGTGCCCTAGTGCGTGTTTGACAGCATGAAAATCAAGGGCGAACGAAGAAGTAAATTATTGACGCTGGGAATGCAGAAGCATACGGAGTACATGCACATATTTGTAGGTACGGGGGAGGGTATCATAAAGGGACCATTTAACCGGGAAGCCAAAGGCCATGAATGACCCGACTACCCCCTCCCGCATTCCTCTACCTGCTCGAACGCTCCTCGCCGGGTCTTTTTCTCTTTCCTTTCTTTTCTTTAGAGTAGCACTTTGCTTCTTCCTCGTCGACTTTTCATGGAGAAGGACAATATTTTCTTTTTTTTCTCTTGCCGTCTGCTCGCCTTCTCTTCTTAGCCTCCTCGCTAGGGGGACCCGTGATACTGTAACCTCCATCTATTCCGAATACATGGAGTTGGATAGGTAGCTAGATAAGAGAACAGAAAGGCTGCGGGAAGTCAGAAGAACCATACTAAACGCATCAGGAGGCGAGGAGGATGCGATAGGCTTCTTCTTTGTTTGGCCTGACCCTCGATCTGCGCCTAGACGCTTAGTTACTTCTCCCACGGAAGTAGCTGACTTGAGGAGAAGGCATGGCGACATCACAGGCCCCGTTGGGCAAGGCAAGAGTTTGTTGCATCTTTGATGCCATGGCCTGTGTGTATCCGCAAGCTCAAAGAAGAGACACACACGAAGGAGGCAGGGGAAGAAGAAAAGAGGCAGAAAGCCACCACCAACGGAAGCGTAGGACAAGGAAGCACAGGTGGCCGCCCACTGCGAGAATGGCCAAGGCAGGGCCATGCTTTGCAGGCCCTCGAAATGAGTGAGAAGGGCCAGAATAGTCAGGTTAAAAAAGCAAACAGCGGAAGCCTGGCCTGAGAGTAAGGTATGATTTTCCCGTGGTGTTCCCGTACGCCATGCACCGTAAAACGACAGCAGGGAAAAGAAAACCGATAACCAGATGGTTTGGAACGTCGCTACATATGTGGTTCCAGCTACTTCTCAGCTCATGGAGTACACACGCAGCTAACGATGCAGGTGGAGTTTCAATCTGCACGAAGCAGAGAGGAGGCGGCAGCAGGATTTTTCGGGATAGGATTCCCCCCTTTTCTGCTCATGGCTGAAAGGGCGTGTCATGGTACTGGAATCAGACGCAAAGGGACAACGTTGTCAGCCTCTTGACTGGTAGAGACGCTCCTGTGGTTGGCTTATCGAAAAGTAGATGTATTAGAACGGCATTGGTTGTATCGTGGTGTAGGTAGTTAGTGAAATGCTGGTCATTTTTCGCTGGGAATCCACAGATCACATTGATATTTGCTTTTTATCCTTCTTCGCCTGTTAAACTCCATGCAAGGGTTGGTTGGCAGTGGTATTTGATATCCAATTTGAACATCGAATAGTCTCGGGGGTCTAAAAGTCGTTCCAGTCGATAAGAGCCTAGAGCTATCCCGACCCATGGCTCGGTCGTATATCAACTCTACCCAGGTAAGTGACTCTTTAGCTAGTTACTTACCGCTCGGTTAGTTTTGAAGGTACCAAGTTCCCCCCAAAGGTTATGGCTGATGAACAGCTTCTGAGTTAAACCGAACAAAGAGGAAGATAATGGGGATGAGGCTTTTCTAACGAGCTAGGATGGGGGAGGAGTAACTAGTTACTGGCTGTTCCCTGGAGCCACTCTGGGGCATGCACCCGCTTGGCCCCATGGGGGGATGGAGTCAGACAATTTTAGACCCCCCAGCGAGCGAAACATTGTAGCCAGTTGCCTCACGGATGCCCTGGGCAATGATGTGCAGCGGTGTGATATATATCGCCGCTACATCAATCGTCAGTTTGGATCTGGTTCCTCCCCAGACGACTCCGAGAGCCTCGTTGTTGGACTTCCCAACAACGAGCTGGCCGCAGGGGTCGTTGTAGACGAAATGCCCCTTGCCTCCACCGATAGCTGCCCACTCTTTGGTTCTAGTTTCTTGACCGGCATTCCTATAACAGATACAGCTCTTCACCGTGTTAAGATATCCCTTCTCTCTTCTTCCAGCAAGATAGATCTCACTGTTACCAGTAGGTCTGGCCCAACGGTCGATTGTTACTGTTGTCCTGTTTCGATGCACGTTGCCCATACTAACGTTTTTTCCGCATTTCCCTGGCTGGCAGAGAACCACTGCCCAATCTAACCTGCAGTTGTCGTCCTTTGATACTGCTAAACCAGAGCTAGCAAGAACGTTGCCAATGTGCTCCTCTTCCTCGTCCTCATACTCGGGGTCATCGACAAGCTTCCCAAAGGTGTCTATTGCGAACTCTTGGGTAGTTGGGCATCGGATTCTGATATTCTTCCCTATATCTTCAGTAATAGGGCCTGCAAGATTGTTGTTATATCAGCCATGTTCACTGTCTCATATGTCTCTCTAGAACTCATTCTATGGTGTTGGGTCATGAGCGAACAACTGACTTAGCTCTTTGCCAGTACGGGTGAACCTCCCCCTGCGTAGGCTGACAGCATGATGGCATGCCAAACAGCACTCCTTAACATCCGAGGCAAATTCCTCGCCAGGCTTGGACAGGAGCAGATAACAGCTGAAGTTTCCCAGGGACTTGTCAATCCCATCCGTAGCAACATAGGTGTTGGAGGATAGATTACCCCCATAGGGACCCCATAGCTTCCCACCCTTATCGTCACTGGCATCTGGGAAGCGCAGATCACGTACGTTGATGGACCATCCATAGGCAGTCTCCGTTGCGCCGCACCAGACAGTTCCCCCCAACAGCTCAATGAAGAGCCCTCCTGTCACCGTGGAAAATAGAGCGATGCATCGTTAGCTTTTCCTGACCTGCGTTGAACTATGGGTTGAAGAAACAGGTCACTAGTTACCTGAGCATTCGTAGATTTCATGAAGTATCTTTTTATAGTCGGAATCAATATAAGGGAACTCCAGCACCGTAATAAGGACCGTGGTCTCGCGTGTCTCCGCGTGTTCTCCCCTGTGCCTATCATTGTGCACCTGGCGCCGCTCAAAGCATTCAACGGCCACCCACTGAGTCCCTACACGGTCCAGAATTTCTATGATACGGCCTGAGACGACATCCCACTGCGAAGAAATCGGATGGTCAGGGGCGACAGGATGAGTGGTGACTGGTACCATGTATCTGAAGCCTCCATGATGGGGGAATGCCGCATATGTCCCGACCAGGATATGTGGGTTGTAAGGATAAGTATACCACCCAACGCGGTTCATCTTGGGAGACTTGATATTCCTTCTTAGCAGTAGAATAACGGCCTCGTTTAACTCCCTATGTTGTTAGTTGTTACTAAGGCCCGGTAGTTGTTGTTGTCTATGTCCAGGGCTCCCGCGACAACGATCTAAGTCGGTGATGCAACAACAACTTATGATAGTTATTCCCTTCCATGTCTACGGCACTAGGCTCCATGGTTTCCTCTGTTACTCCTTGACCTTGTATGATATAGTAATGGCTTCCAGGTGGCTCTTCCTGCTGTCCCAGTAACTATTATAGGCTAGTTCGGCCTATATAAATCTACAAAAAGCTTTGCTGCCTAGTATCTGAGCAAGAAACTATATACATTCATAAGCAACAGCATGACTCTAGGACCTTGAGACAGACAAGGTTGCTCGCTTCTTGGAGCTCTCCTTTGCAAGCTCAACCAGACGAATGACAGTACCCGAATCTGCGGGATCTACAGGGACCGGTCCTTGATCAGACAGTGCCTTTGCAAGTGAACGGTAGAACTCCTTGTAAGTTGGTGGCTCTGGCCGAACTGTCTGCGAAGAAAACTTCCCCCCAGCAAACGTTGTAAGGACACCTAGGGTGGATGTTAGCTTGCTTATCGAGTAACTAACTAGTTATCGTGGGTGACTGGTTGCACTACATGCGACACATGTGTTTGATGTGCATGTGCACAGGACATTCACGTAGGACAGCTGGAAAACGTACCGTGCCTATCACTGGGCTCGCAGCCATACTGGGCATCATCAAGTTTTACACCGGCTTGCAATTGGTCCTCTTGAGGGTCGAGGTGGTACTAAATGGTGGAAAATCGTCAATCTCTTTGATATGTGACAAAAAGTAGAGGATGGTATAGTGATGTACCTTCTTAAAGCTCCCCTTTTCGCCTCTAATCCAGAACCGAAGCTGGTTCTCCTCGGGACTGATAACTCCACTCTTCGCTGTTACCAGTAGTCTGTCATAATGCAATAGAACGGTAAATGAATCCTCGTAATTTTCCGTACTAATCTCTCGCTGGGCCGTGATGAAGCCAGTGATCTCGTTTGGAAGGCCAAACAAGTGGACTGCCTGATCGATAAGATGCGTTCCAAGGTCATAGATGGAGCCACCGCCGGGGATATCCTTGCCCTTCCATGCTTTCTTGATATTGAGCTCTGGACGATGGCGGTCGAAGTGAGTCTCAAACTCAACTACGCGACCAAGGGAGCCGTCTTTGATTAGTTTTGACGCCGTGACAAAGTCTGCATCCCATCTTCGGTCTGGCATCGTATATATTGTCAGAAAAAGCACCTCCTATCCATATACTAACAGCCTACTCACTCTGGTACACTGTGAGCAGCTTGTTTTGTGTCTTTGCTAGCTCTATCAACTCGTTTGCTTCTTTCGTAGTGGGAGTAAACGGCTTCTCAACGACAACTATATATCTCACACACCGGTTAGCCGGACGCCCACTTTGACATGCCTTGATGAATGGAGAATAAACAGTACCATGCTTCTTTGCCTCCAGAGCAAGCTTTGCCAGACTGAAATGGCTGTCTGGAGTGGTTGTGATCACCACCGCATCGACAGCGCTATCATTGACCAACTCCTCCGCACTTCGATATACCTTGCTTTCTGGGTGGTCCTTTTGCGCATCATCCGAAGCCGAAGGTGTCCTTTGCACAATTGCATATAGATTGAACTCTGGGAGGGCGCTGATGAAGGGAATGTGGAAGACTTTGGCACTCATGCCGTAGCCGATAACCCCCACGTTGAATGCTTTCGCAGCCATGGTGGGGGATTGGTTAGCTGCCTGTGTAGTAAAGTAGTTAAGTATATCTCTGAGATGGGAGAATGTATTGAGGATGCAGAGAATCTATGCTAGCGTCCTCTCTCTTTCAGCAGTAATAGCTGGTGAATTTATGCAGTAGCTTGTCGCTGTGAAATAGGACGTTCTCAGCGGATGTCGTAGGGCCAAGTTGGCTAACTAACTATAACTTAACTGGTCGGTTAGCTAACTAGCTAACCAGTCGTTACTCCGTAGATTGTATAACATTGTGGTGGCAAGTTAGTTAGGGAACTATGGGGACTCCAAACTCCCCACGCAATTTTGCTGCTTAGCGAACCATCCCTTGAAACTGTTGTCCTTTTCTATCTTCTTCCTTACCTCTCCTTTTAACGAGCTTCTAAAGACCAGGCTCCTCAATATGAACTGGGAGATACAATGACTCACGTGATGGGCTTATTGGATGGATGGCCCCGAATGGATAAGATCCGACTACATCGTGGTCGTCGATGCAGGCCTACCAGTGCTTGCAATCGGATGGAAGCCATACTGACACGCAGGTCTGGCGAGTGTCTGATGTCAGACGGGTTTGTTAGTGAATAGGCTGATCGGAGTTTTGATATTGAACTCGTTAGCCCCGTGGGTCCCTAGTTAGTTTGGCCAGCTGGCGACTCGAGGGTTGGGCTCGCTGTTGGGCGCTCTCGATCCTCTATCTGATACCCTGCTCTATACGGAGTACTCCCGTTGGTATTCGATAGAGTAGAGCGCTTCATGATGGGTCAGTCCTGCTGAAAGGCCTGTCAGTCCGTTCGTTTGTCCGGAAAAGACTCGACAGAGTGCGTGATATCGCGATGTCAAATACCTTCGTGAGGCGACGAAGTCAACAAATGCCCGCCCGCCGTTTGAAAATTTTTGATTGGCTGCACGTTCAGCAACTTGGGATGCTCTCATTGGTGTGCCAAGAAATTTACCTGCACTCCTGTTGGCCCAAGTAAGCAAATCGCCGGCCAATCATGTAAATCCCAGCAGACATATTGGCGCTAAACCGCGCCTCGTCGCGGCTGGCTTAGGGCTGCGATAGCCGCCGACGGCAGCCGCTCTGGGCAACCCAGGGGCACGTCATCAACGACCGAGGATCCAAGGTGTCTGTCTCGACATGCTGCAGCCGTCACAGCTTCGTGGAGGTTCTTCGTCCGGCCCTGGGCGCTGGATGGAGCATCTTTTGTGGGGTTCGGGTGCGGGCGAATGTATTTTTAAGTTGAACTCGCGATCCGCTAACTAAGTTAACTAGCTAACATTGATGCTCATGCACAGATGCATTATTGAACCTTAACGCAACGAGTTGTCAGAGTCTCGACGGCCAGCAGAGCCGGATGGCGACGATAATTGGTCGGTGAGCACTCTGCAGAATATCGAGGGCTGGCTGGGATGCGTGGATTTATTTCGATGAGCTTATCGAGGAAAATCTCGGATGAAAAATCTCTGCTCGTCCAGACTAAGTAACGGGCGAGAGGTGACTGGGCCTTGGTTAAGCATACAGAGTACCGATGACAGCAGCGTTCCGTGTCGCTGGTTACCTTGCGAAAACATACTTCGTACACGCATCCGGTTTGTACATTTATAAGTTGGGCCAACAAGCCCGACCATTATTGATGAAGATTAGGCTATAAGAACTGCTTTTCCCTGCGGCTTCTGCAGCAATGGGCTGTGTCCAAGCCTAAAACTGCCCAGGGGGGGTCTTCTGAGATCCAACCCCATATCCTTCACCTTTTTTTCAGCTCCCAAGAGGTTTTAAGGGGCTTAGTGGCTTAATCGGAATGGCAGTTTTGTATAAGAGTCCGCCGCCATAGCTAGTGCGCCGGGTATGTTCAATTCGTGAGAATTCAACCCCAGTCTTGATTTCTTCCCGCACTTTTCAGCTTCTCTCTCTCTCTCTCTCTCTCTCCCCGTTCCTCCAGAGTCATGTCTGTGAAGACGAATAAGACGAATATTCTCCGTTATGGTTTACTATTCCCGATTGTTTTAATATTCTTTTCCATTAAAAACGAGGTTTTCATCGTGGGACGCTTTCTGTCCCTCCTTGTCTTTGAGATTATTCCGGGGGGACTGATAACTCAACCCACTTCCAAGCTATCAACGGTATTACCACCATTTGTGCCCTGCGGAAAATAACTGATCAGTTAGAGATTGACAAGCAACACTCTCCCTAGGCATTGTCTCTTTTCGACGCGCAGAAATCTCCATCAATAACGTTGGACAATACTCTGGCCGGCCTTTTCCGCGAACATGGTGTCTCGGACTCCATAGTCCTAGACATATACAATGGCTATACCCACGTCGATATCCATCCACAGATTCTTCGCGAAACCGTCTATATCCAGGATGAAGATGTTGGCTTTTCGAGCAACCATACGGACGAAGGACTCGAACGATTCCGAACGCTTGTCCTGGCTTACAAGACGGTCAAGTTCTTGCTGGGGATCGGCCCGATTGACGTATACCTATACCGCCCTGCCAATCTTCCGGCGAACATTGACCGACTTTTGTCGCCTCTCCCCGCGAATCAACGACCACAAATCCACTATATAGATCTGAACAAGCATAACGTACAAGATGAGTTGCGACGAGTTACCCGGGGGAAGAAGTTATGGTACTATCGACCAAAGTCATATATGCTCGAGTATGACACTTTGGTCCACCCTGATTTCGCGTATGAGATCAACGACAAACGCTTCCTTTTACATCCCACCATTCCGACTCCTGATCTACAGATGGCCCCGCTGCAGGGCGAGGATCTAAGCGCCTCGGTCCTCTCGACAAGGCCGCTGCCGTTTGTTGTCAAACTGCGTCGTTGCAGCGGGAGTCGAGGAACATGGATTGTCACCAGGGAGGACCAGAGACAAGAGATGCTTACTGCCATGGCAGAATACCAAGACCGGGGGGTTCCTGACGTCCAGATATCGGAGTTCATACACTCCACGCGACCCCATTATTCAGTGAACTTCTTCGTGGGCGCGGCTGGCCCGTCCAATGCGAGTTCCACTGTGACTTTCCTAGGAGCCACAGAGCAGCTCTTCACCCAGTCGGGACGCTGGGCGGGCGCAGTGATTGACTATCGATCACAGAAGCAGATCCAGGAGCAATTAATGGATACCATCAATGCTGTTGCTCGCACCCTGATCGGCTCCTATGTCGGATGGGCAGGGATAGATGTCATTATTGATGCGCATAGCAACCGGACGGTGGTTGTTGATCTCAATGCGCGGTTAACAGGTGGTTTCGTTGTATGCTTACTTTCAAACCATTTCATGAAGGAACGAGGGCTGCCTTTGGCTCAGGCTCAGAGCTTCCATTATGAGGGGAAATCGCCGGATGTTTATACCCTTCTAGCTCCGTTCATTAGCAAAGGACAAGTTATTGTCGCCGCGGCTACAGAGTCCCTGCCGAACAACTCTACTGCGCAGCTGATATTCGGTGGACGGACCCGAGAAGAGCTTTTTAGTATCAAGGCTGCAATTCAAGAGAGATTGAGCCGCTGCTTAGATCGTCACGGTATGATTGATTATTCCATCGGGCGCCCTAGCATGAGCATTTAAGTATATAACTAGACCAAAGGAAGCACATGGGTTTTGAATAGACTAACTAGCGATTTTAATGAGTTAAACTTCAATAAAGATTAATGCCTTTCGAGGGTACGCGCTTGTGCAGTTCTGAATATTCCATCCCAGTATACTCAGGGGGCAGACTTAAGGGAGAGACCCGATGGCCCATTCAGTCCGCCATACTGACTTAGCTAGTCATCTCTGTATAGCATTGAATGTCTGATTTGCGAGGTCCTGGATCTAACAGGGGTATATTCCACAACATGGCACTCGCTACCTTATCCATCTCTCCAAGCCCTCCTTCGTAGATGCCGAAAAGTGCGTCACCGATACAGTATAACCGAGGACAAGTAGCAATAGAGTACTCGTAGGGGATCTATATCTTGCAGTTGATCTAGCGGCCGCACCAGGCTTTTTAATCCAAAGCTGTGGAGGTCAAGTTTGCAGTTGGCTGTAGGGCGCAGGGCATCCACCAGACAAGGGGTATAGTAGTCAACTTCTATGCCGAGAGTAAAGAACGTCCATAACTGCTGGTTAACTTAGTTAACTAGACGCAGCTGGCCGTTTGATGCTGATCATCCGATGGGGTATCAGCTATCATGCCAGAAAGGCCAAACAAGCCATAACCAGCCATCTACGCCCACAAGCAGGCCAGTAGAGTTGACCCAGTTGACCAGTGCCAGGCCAGGACGTCAGGGCCATGCCTTTATCACGCTGCAGCAGCCGTCTTGTCGCCCAACTTCCCATCAACCACCGCTGTCCCTCGGCCCTAGACATGGAATGGAGTAACTGCACAGCTGAATGAATCCTCGCCCATCCGTCCGCCTAGGCATCAACCCTTCTGCCTGTGGAGATACGAAGCGCCAGGGTCCTATTTTTAGCGGAAGCAGAAGCAATCCGGTCAGCCACAGCGTCGTCAACCTCGCTCTCGTAGGCGCAGCGCAGCCACTTCGGGGTAGTTAGCTGGTTATCTGGTAGTTATACACGCAACTGTTTGTTCCTGGCCGGCGGGGGCTGAACGGTCCTCCTGCTTGCTATCCGTGGATGACTATGAACGGGGTGCTCGTCCCATGCCTGCGTCCGATCGTCCTGCTGCTGCTGCAACTGTGCATGTCGTCGCTGTCGCTGTCGATAGTTCACTTGCTGCGTGGTTGTGGCTGTCTCGGGCCGTCACTATGGAGACTGTAACTGCGCCAAGGTGCTCGCAGGCAAGATGCAAGTGTTGTTTTTCTTCCTCCACGCTCGCTCAGCCCCAAGTCTGCCTGTCTATCAGTCCAGCGCCAGCTGCCTGCCTATCGAGCACTGATATACGCACCGAATAAAAAGCGCTGCCTTGTCTGCTTCTGCGTCGTTACCTTCTCTCGTTTAGCATCTTCGTTTGTTTGGCCGAGGTTCTGGCCTGTTTATTTTGCCTCCGTCACTATTTACTTGCGTAAACAACAGCAACCACTAGATATCTACCACGGCCGGGAGACAGACACAGCAGAAGATACGCCATATACACACCTCGAGCCGCTGCGGATAGACAGACGATAGACAGAGGATACAAGGGGAGAGATGCTGAGCCTACCAGATTTCACCAACTCGCGGACAAAGAGCATCATACATGGATTCCAGGCATTCATAATATTCCTAGCATGGGCGATGACAATTGCAGTGTTCACACAGCCAGGCAAGACCGATGGCAGGACGGTCTACTACTTCATCCTGGTACGTTTGGCGCTCTGTTTCTGGGGATTGAAAGCTGTAGATGGAGTACTGACGCTGGGCTGTGGTTAGTGCTGGGTCAGCATCCCCGGGCTCATATACCTGACGGCAGTGCCCATGTGGCCGCGCCTCAGGAAATTCGGAAACGTCTTTGCCTTTGCGTTCATCGACGGTCTCTTCACCCTGCTCTGGTTTGCGGCCTGGATAGCTACGGCAACATATGTCGGGACGGGGGTAGCTCAGGGTGAGAAAGACAAAGACAACGATAAGAACAAGGACGACAAGGACAAGGGCAAGAAGTCCGGATGTGATGTCTTCGCCTTTGGAAGTCCGGCCAAGTGCAGACTAAGCACTGGAACAACTATCCTGGCTGTGCTTGTCTTGTAAGTGTATTGCTTGATATGCAAAAGGGAATGCACCACTAACGAGTTTCCAGTCTAATCTTCATTGGCACCACCCTGATCTCTCTACGAAGCGTGATGGAATACCGACGGACAGGAACAATGCCCTACGACGGTTCGGACCCTACCTTTGCAGCCCACGCTCAAGCAGCGTTCTCCTCAAACGCAGCACCACACGACTTCGACGATGACGACGACAGAGACGCCGAGTCCCGGACCGGCCGGTACCACGGCGGACCTCCATCCCGCCAAAATGACGAGGACGCCTACGCACTTCTACATAACAGCGAGGTAGACGATTTGGGGCCCCACGGCAGCCATCGTCCTCCGCCTTCTTACGACCCTACTGCGTCTAATGTCAGCAGTCTGCCGCCTAGATTAAGTCCTATCCCACCAGCAGGCAGTTCATTGAGTGATTATGACACCAGCTACGGAGGGGCATACGGTGGGCACCGATCAGAAGTCTCCGGCGACTACTCCTATAACCGATAAAACTCCCATTCTCGCCCTTTAGTTCGTTATGTACAGGTTTGTCCAGCTTATTTTCCCCCCTCTCTCAATTTTTCTCTTTTTGATCTCTGTGTTTCTATAAAAATTTGGAAGTAATACCTTCTACCTACCAAGCGTATGTATCTGGTTTTTCTGTTTTCATATGACCTGTTTTTCTCCTATACATTGCTTTACTCTGCTCAACAATGACGGGAAATAGGAGGGGACTCATGAATTGGGAGGCGCTGTGCTCAATGGATTTCCTATATATGATCTTTTCTCCCTTTCCTGTTTCCTTGCAAGAGAGATGCTATGCTACTAGAACGCTGGCTATTTTTATGTACTGCTGGCCCGGAATGAGATGCCTGATTTCTCCTTTTTTTGGTTTCAAGCCTGTTATACCCCTGTGAAGTCCTTGTTCATTTATATAATTTGAAATGATGAAGATCGTACGGGAGACTAACCTTGGATTTTATGTCCAAGTCTCAATTCTTGCTTTTTACTTTGCCATTTTGCATGAACGAAGCGTAGTCATCGATCGAATTCATTCTTGGTCAGTGGTCAAAACCCATAATGTACAAACGAACGAACATCAAGTAAAGTACAAAAAGCGGAAGAAAGAAGCAAAGAAATCATCAGGTATGGTACAGGCACAGTTCAAGTCATAATACAGGATTTTTTTCTTCCAGCCATTTTCTTCCTTTTTCATAACAAGCCAATAAACAGTAAACAGCCACCAAACGAAATCAAAGTAAACCAGTAAACTAGGAAATGTTGAAATAAGGGAGAAAGGTAAGACATGATATAGTCTAGTCATCGAAACCTTCATCGTCCCAGTGGTAAAAGTCTTCAGGGGCAGAAGCTTCATCTTCACCTTCATCAATTAGGTGCTCCCTGGGAATTGGATGTGGGAGGCCTAAACGATCCATATGTTCGCACTGAAGCTTCATGGCGTACTTAAAGAAGTTCTTCTGTCCCTTCTTGATAGTCTCAATATCACGCTCGGTTAAGGGGCGCTTAGTACGTGGGTGGTTTTCAAGTGGAACGCCGCGTTCGAGTAGAATGTTGGTGTAGTTCCTATTAGGCTCTAGGTAAGGAGAGACCTTTTTGAATTTGCCGAATGGGTCGACGGTAACTCGTTGGCGTTTAATGCGAGTTTCATCAGTAAGAGGAACATAGGTGTGAGGCTTTGCTGGGCAAACATCCATCTTCTTGGCTTTCTCGCTGTTTTGCAGCTTTGGAAGTGAGGGATGACTCTGTTTCTCGCAGGCTTTAGGAGATGGTGGGGGGCAGTTGAAGTCAGGCTTAGCCTTTTTAGTCGGGCGAGGAGTGTCTTCACGTTCATTGCGAGATAGTTGGTTCTGAGGAGATGGAGACTCAGGGTCGGCAATGTCCTCGTATCGACGCTTGGGTTTTATAGGGGCTGAATGAGTAGAAGAGGAGGTGGAAGATGACACACGCGTAAGGCAAGAAGGAGACTTTGCATGCTTCATGGGCCGGCGCGATGAATTGGTATCCTTAGTTTGAGAACGAGGGGGAGATGGAGTGGTGAAGATATGCTCGTTCTTATTAACAGGTTCAACTTCGGAGGGGGCCTGAATATTGGAGGTTGGGACAGGTTTGGGAGTACCAACAGTCTGGGCCTGGGGGACAGCGTTATTTTGAGCTTGGGTATCATTATTAGTGCCAAAAGCATAGTCGGCAATGCCCTCGAGGAGAACACGAGCATATTCTAAAGTTTCCTCACGGGTGAGCTGAGGAGAAGGACACTTTTCACTAGCTGATGTCTCATGAGGCTCAGAGAGATTGGGTGTGGTAACGATAGCCTGAGAGCTTGGGCTGGCATGCTGATCGTGGTACTGATAATCACTAGGGACCCAACGGTTGTAGATATCATTGGCAGTATCTGCCATCTGCTTTTTGTCGACTGAGTGACATTGAATTAAAGGAGCTACAACCTGTGCAACAAGAGCATGGTTGACTTCGTCGACAGTGCAGCGGTGCTTATAAGCAAAGTCCTCGTAAGGAAAGCTCGAAACAATTGTGCTTGCAAGATCACTGAAGAAAGATGGAGGGAACTGATCAGGATTGGTTGTGGTGTCGCAGTTTCTAGGGCCGATCAGAATTTTGAGAATATTGCCATATGCTATGCCAGACCAAGCAGATCGACCGACTGTATCGCCGGTAGGAGACTGTTCATGGATAGTTGCGAGGACTGGAGCAGGTGCTGTCTGGGTCTGACTTGAGGTAGGGTCAAGCTCGTAATCGGAGCGAGTAGCCTGTCCATAGGAAGAAGTTGATGAAGAGGACAAGGACGAGGATGATCCGGAGGCGGAGGCGGAGGCGGCAGGAGATTCGGAGATAGGGGCAGCCTCAGAGGCAGCAACAGAGCCCAAGTCAACAATGTGGCCAGTCTGGGCGGCAGGGGGGAAGAATTGGCCAGCAGAGACGGACTCTGCAGCTGAAAGCTGCCCGGAGAAAGACTGGTAGGAGGCGGCCGGGAAGGGAATCAGAGGAGCCACCCCTCCAAGGCCAGCAGCCGACGTTGCCAGCATCTCGTGGGCGGCCAAGCCCGTGTAGAAGGGCTGGCTGAGGTAGCTGGTGCCCTGGTAAAACGCTGCAAACAATCAGTATCAGATCTTCTGCTATATACAGGGAATCTTGGAGCTTACATCTTGGAGCATCGAGACGATACTCGCCCAGCTGAGGCCCGGGAGCAGCCTCGGGGTTCAACGAGTTGACCCCGACAATCTGGACGTCATCGTCCTCGTCGTCGTCCACTACGTAGTAGTGGCACCGAGACATGTCTTCGGTGGATGGATATCTGGTAGTCTGCTGATGCTGGGCTTTTGAAGCTGGATGGCTGCCTTCTGGCTGTCAAATGTAGCTCTTGCTGCAAACGGAAAGGTAGAACGGAGGATATTAGGAGGATGAAAAGGATGAAGAAGAGAGAGGAAGATGAGGAAAGAAAAAATTCCAGTCCCAGCCTCTTTTAGCTGCTTGATAAAGGGGCGGCTGGCAACACAGCAGAGCCTGTCAGTCCATTGTTAGTCTAGTGTTGTTAAGTGTCCTATTGTGAAGAATTTTCACAGCAGGACAAGGGCTAGCAGACATAGCGGAACACTCTAGTAGCTAGTGAGTCACTCAGTTATATATATGTGGTATATAGTATTGAGCATTGAGGTGTATCTTTGATGCTTAGTGTTCTATAGTGATAGCAACACACTAGGGTATTGATAGAGCACACAGGTAGTGACGAGCCAAACAAACACAGATAGATATCATATATATCTATAGATCTATAGACAGACAATAGTCACAGTAAAATAGATAGATGTAATACCATCTACCCGCAGGCCTTGCTGCTGTCTACTGCAGTCTCTTTGCTGCCATCTTGCCACCTTGAGCTATAATTACCAACTCCACCATCTTCCTAGTAGATACTACTAGGTCTCTGTATCTCCTTTTATATTAATATCATCATCATCTTCTTCTTCTCTTTTATATCTCATCTTCTTCCTCTTTATATCTGTAGGTGATGTCGATGTTGTTGTTGTTGTTGTTGATATCAAGTCTCTGTGTGGCTACTTTATTTCGACGTCGTTTTATCCCAAAGCGGCTAGCCTCCTCCTTTTCCAACCTCCGGCTTTCTTTTTCTTTTCTGCTTCTTTTCTTTTTCTTCTTCTTCTTCTTCTTCCTTCTGCTTCTTCTTCTTCCATCTCAACCAGACTCAAGATAGGACAAGCACAACATCTCATCTCTCGGATCTCCGTTTCTCAGTATCTAGGGCACCAAGCGACCCTTCCATCCCCCCTCTTCAAGTCCCCAAGGAGGCAGCTTTTGCCATTCAACTTCGACATCACCGCAAAGTCCTCTCAACCAAGCGAACGATCATGTCTTCTGCTGTCAATGAACTTGCCGATACCATGGCCTCCGTCACCGTCAACGAGGCCAACGGCGCTGCCCCGGCTGCTGCCGCTGCCAACCCAGACCCGTCCGCCATCAGCGCAGACGAGGGCCGCCGTTTGTACATTGGGAACCTCGCCTATGCGACCACCGAGGGGGAACTCAAGGACTTCTTCCAGGGCTTCAGTGTGTGAGTCTCGCCCTACGTCAGGGGGCGGGCACAAGCGAGCAGGCGAGAGGAGAGCAGGCGGCAGCTACTTACACTGTGGGAATTTGCTGTGTTGTGCTCCCTCGTCTCTTTTTCCCAGCTGGTTGGGCACTTGCTCGGTCGACCGCTTGTCCGCTTGTCCGCCCGGCGCCCTCTCTACCTTGTTAAGTTTATTATTTTTCTCTCTGGCCGCCTGCTAACAGCAGTGATATAGGGAGAGCACCTCCATCCCTGTGAATCCTCGCACTGACCGCCCTGTTGGCTATGCCTTTGTCGACCTTGCCACCGCTCAGGAGGCTCAGGATGCCATTGCTGCTCTGACCGGCAAGGAAATCCTCGAGCGCAAGGTCTCCGTCCAGCTTGCTCGCAAGCCCGATGAGCAGAAGCAACTGAAGGAGCAGAAGGAGCAGAAGGACAAGGAGGCTGGTGCCAGCGGCAACGAGGGCACCAGTGGCACAGAGGGACGCAAGAGGTCCTCCAACCGTGGCCGCGGACGTGGCCGGGGTCGTGGCCGTGGCGGCCGTCTTGGTCGTGGCGGACGTGTACGTTTTTTCTACACCGGTCTTTTGTTCTACCCTCTTTGTTTCTGTACTTTTTTTCGCTTACGAGTGTTGTTATTTCTAGAAGACTGAAGATGGCCACGCTCCTGAAGGTGAGTCTGCCGAGCAGGCTGGCCTGAACGAAGTCACCAACACCGAGGGAGAGGCCCAGGAGCAAAAGGGCCGTCGTCCTCGTGTCCGCCGTGGCCCTCCAGAGGATGGCATTCCTTCCAAGACCAAGGTCATGGTTGCCAACCTCCCGTACGATCTTACTGAGGAAGGCGTAAGTCCACCAGCTCTCCATTCCAAAGGCCTGTTCTCGTGCCGTATGCTGACCCCCGAACAGTTGAAAGAGCTCTTTGCTGCCTACGAGCCAGTTTCCTCCAAGATCGCCCTCCGCCCCATCCCCCACTTCATGGTCAAGAAGCTCCAGGCCCGCGGTGAAGCCCGCAAGGGCCGTGGCTTCGGTTTCGTTACCCTTGGATCCGAGGACCTCCAGGCGAAGGCCGTCCAGGAGATGCACGGTAAGGACGTCAATGGTCGTGAGATCGCTGTCAAGGTCGCCATCGACAGCCCCGGAAAGGAAGACGAAGTCCCAGAGGGCCAGGCTGATGAACCAGCTGACGCTCCTGCTGCTGACTCTTCCGAGGCTGCCGCTGCCCCGACCACCGCTTAAAACAACACACACAAAAACACACACACACAAAAACTCACTCTTTGAGCAAAATCAGAGAGGTCCAGCAGTCTCGTGTCTACAGACTGGATGAGTCTTTGGAAGTATTCGGCATTGCTTATCTGATCAATATCCTACCTCGAAAAAAAAAAATATTATCACGCAACACACAAATAGCACTAAAAAAATTCAAAGTACCGATCCATGTTTGGCATTCTTAGCAGCTCCTTCGGGCCACCGTCAACACGGTATCCCATCGAGCCGCCTGTTTGGAAGGTCGACCACCGTATCATCTCGCTTGCGAGTTGATCAACCCGACACCTATATCCTATCCTCTCTTTCTCACTCCCCCAATGGCTGTTCCCCCAGCCGCTTTATGATGTATTTTAGACACAAAAATTTCGATTAAGGAAACGAATTTATGGATCTATTATATATCACTTGCTCGTTTTCCTTGCAGTCTTTTCTTTTATTTTTCTGATGAATTTCTCTTCTCACCCCGTAGTCCGTGTATGCTATGCGCCCGACTGTCGTGTGCGTTGCTCCTTTCGATCAAGCCACATAGTTAGCGAACGGCAGCCAAAATCCTGCAGAGACAACACGGACGGCTCCCTCGAGGATCTCCTAACTGCTAGCCGCAACTACAGCAGCCCTCTCCGGATTCTCCACGCCGCACTACGAGGGCACCAAGGCTTCCAACGGCCTTTGTCTCCGTCGGTTCGAGTGGAGTCTTCCCGTCCCACTGTGAGAGGCTGCCTGCGCGAAGAAACGGGACTCCCAAGCGCCAACCTGCAGCCAACTTACACCAACTCCAGCTTCACTCTGCCAACGCTCGCTCCTAACCGCCGTCTTCACTTATACTCCGTATTCTGATTGTGTCTGGCTCTGCCATTGAAGAGGTGTCGGTTCACCATGTCGAAGCTGTGGGAAGTCGACCCAGAGACAAGGAGTAAGGTAGTTATGCGCCCAACCTCACACTGCACGGCACACATAACACCCTTCTCCCACGCCCTTATCTACGCCATGGAATACAAAGGACTAGACTGACGGCAACACTGTTGATTGTAAAATATAGCTCCAGATCATCCAGAAAACCAACGGGAACGATCGATGTTGCGACTGTGGCGCTCCCTCCCCGCAATGGGTATGATAACCATCTCTGTCCCTTGCTGAACTCCTGGCCACCGCTGCATTTTTCCAAACGAAAGCACATACAAAGACTGCTTCTAACATGATATCTGCATTCACTGCTTCCAGGCATCACCTAAATTCGGAACGTTCATATGTCTCAATTGCGCCGGCATCCATCGCGGCCTAGGAGTCCACATCTCCTTTGTCCGCAGCATAACCATGGACGCCTTCAAACTCGCTGAGATCCAACGCATGGAGAACGGAGGCAACGAGCCCTGGAAACAGTTCTTCGACGCACATTCACTCACGCTCGCAGAGGGCCGGACCTTCGAGGACTCCACCGTGAAAGAACGGTATAGCGGCGAGGTAGGCGAGGAGTGGAAGGAGAGATTATCCGCCAAAGTCGAAGGGAGGGAATACGTGCCTGTGCCGAAGACGGAAGTTAAGAAGAAAAGCGCCACAGACAAATTGCCAGGTGGTGGGTTGTCACGGTCAAACACTACGACGCCCAGAGGGTTTGGGAATGATTCGCGAGAACCACTTTCCAGATCGAAATCTGCTACCGGGCAACTAAGCAAAAAGGAACAGAATGAGGCGTATTTTGCGAAGATGGGAGGTGTCAATGCCTCGAGATCGGAAGGCTTGCCTCCCTCTGAGGGCGGGAAGTATACCGGTTTCGGCGGAGGGATGCCAGTAGACTCATCCTCGTCAAGGTCCGGTGGTGGTGCAGGTGGGATTCCAGGATTGGATGATTTCCAATCCGATCCTGTTGCGGCGTTGACGAAGGGATTCGGATGGTTCACTACTACCGTTGGAAGGAGTGCGAAGACCGTGAACGATACATATATTCAACCCGCTGCAAAGACAGTGCGTATTCTACCTTTTTCCTTTTTCTTTTCCTAGCCACTGCTTACTGACTGTAACTTCATAGCTTGCGGAATCAGATCTCGCAGCCCAGGCTCGTCTTGCTGCTACAGAAGTCGGCCGGAACATACAGACCGGCACCCGTACAGCCGCAGACTCATTCAATCGCTTCGTAGAAGGAAGTGATGGTCCAGCTGGCGGCCCTCATCGTACAACAGGCTCTGCATCAGCTTCATCCAGAGGGTTTGAACCTGAGCGAAAAGATTTCTGGGACAGCTTTGCTGCTCTTGGAGATGAGAGGGATAGGCAAAGGCATGGTGCTGGCTCTTCCTCCGGCTCGGGAGCTATCGGCACTGGAACGATGAAGAAGAATGATTCGAACTCTATCAAGCCTACTTCCTCGTCGGTGTCAAAGGATGATGGATGGGATGATAATTGGTAGGTTAAGCGCGCTAGATATCTAGAGGGTTGGGGGATCGATGATTTGCATATAACGAACATTTTTTCTTTTTCGCTCATATATATCGGATATAATGACTACTTTTCCTTGTTCATTTCAGTTGGGCGGCTGGTTTATGCATTGATGGTGAATTCTTCTATCAAACGCTCTATATTCTTGCTACATCGTACATTTACATTTCTTAGATATCTTACAAATCCCATATATTTCCAGCATCTGCTATATCCCTCGGATCTCAGCCAATATAGCCTTCTCTCTCTGGCTGCCCATCTTCTCAAATCTATCAACGCTCATGACGAAAGTCCCTCTTCCGCCAGTAATACTCCTTAAGTGTTTCAAATATCCCACCATTTCCTTCAACGGGACTTTTGCAGATATAGTTCTAGACTGGTTTGTTGCTGATAAGGATGCCGACACACTCTGGTTGGACGAGGGCTCGAATGGATCTCTCGGAGCATATATCTTGGACACATCAACGGTGTTCGATTCCTCTGACTCCGTAGATGAGGAAGAAGAAGCGTCATCGTCAAGTGAAACGACATGTCCTCCGCGCGACGATGAGATATCATGTACTACCGAACCTAGCGCTGATTCCTGAACACTGATCGAGACATTCATGACGGGTTCCATCAGACCTGATGAAGAAGACACTTCCCTCAGCGCAGATTGAGTAGCAAGTCTTGCTGCCGCCGAAATGGCGGACGCAGTTGTCTCGGTCCCAAAGAGATGTTGTTCGAGGTCGAACCTTAGTTTCACGTAAACGCCATGAAGGGGGAATTGGTACTTTGGTCCACGGGCGAGGGCAGCCAGGCCTCCCGCAAGAAGGGCATTTTTAACTATGTCAATCGACAAATGTGCTGGAAACATATCGTCTGCCTGTTTACCTTTCTTTTCTCCTATGTTGGGCAGTTGAATAGTGATCCGGTTGCCATCCACAGTTTGTGTGTAGACATGGTCATCTCTGTTTTGCTGCGGTTCTTGCTCTTCAGCAAGGGGTTCCACAATAGCTTCGCAACCTGCCTTTCCCTTTCTCCCGGCAATTTCTTTATCGAATACCTTCGAGGTCGTTGAAGATGTCCCGGTGATGCATTCACGATACCCAATTTCAATGTTCCCCATAGACGCCTTTGCCTTGAAGTCGCCTACTAGTCTATCACGGGCAATTTCAAGATGAAGCTCACCCATGCCACTGAGCAGAGTTTGGCCAGAATCTTCATCTAGCGTAACTCGCAAACTAGGGTCTTCTCGTAAAAGGAGTGCTAGGCAAGTCTGTAGGTTCTTCTCCTCGCTGAGACTATGAGGTTCAACACTGGAGAAAAACACAGGAGGAGGAACATTGATAGGGCGCAGCTGTAATGTGTTTAAGGGCTCAGGCGGACTCTGCTTGTTTCCAGCGTATGAAATCAGTGTGTCTCCCGTCCGAGCATATTTCAACCCGACAAAGACGGCGATATGGCCAGCAGATACAGATTCTTGTTCAACAGCGTCTGAAGCGTACATCTTGAGGAGACGAGGAACTCGCTCAGAGATCTGGAGGTTTGTGTTGAATAGCAATGCATTCCTATGCAGTATCCCCGAATAAATGCGCGCATAAACAAGGACGCCTCTCTTTGCGTCACTAACGACCTTGAAAGCTAGTGCGCAAGCTTCAAGCTTTTGAAGAGATGTTGCCGGTTTTGACCTCGGGACCACTCCCTTCTTCCCCTTTTGGCTGCCTGATGAGGTTCCTACCATAGCTTTCCCTTCAAGGTATTCATTCAACCCGCATCTGACGTTATTGATGCTAATCTCTGGATCCGGCCGCTCCAATGGACTCGGAAGTAAGTTCACTACTGCATCAAGTAGCGGCTGAACACCGATATTTCTGAAGCTGGCACCTGCAAACGTGGGAATGATTTTATTTTTAATGTCTCCCAGTAGACAGCGACGGAGACTCTCGAGGATCTCTATAGGCTTGACCGCCAGATGGTCTTCGTCATGCTCCAAAAAGTTTTCCACCATAGTATCGTCATGCTCGCTCAGAAGCTCAACCAGTGCAATCCTGGCCTTTTTCAACTCGTCTGCAAATTGTCTGTCAGACTGTTCTAGGGTAGATAGGTTTGAGACAGATATCTTTTTGCCATCCCCTCCAAGTTCCCATAGCAGTCCTTGCAGGGAGATAACGTCTCCAACCCCCTGCAGTTTACCATCACCTCCCTCGAACCAGGGAATTTGACAGACTGCTGGCCACCCTCCAAGCCGGGCACCAATTTCCTTTACAGTCCTGCCAAACGCAGCGCCTTCTCGGTCCAGTTTATTGACAAAGGCGATCCTGGGGATGCCGTATGTCGATGCTTGACGCCAAACTTGCTCGGTTTGCGCTTCAACTCCAGCAACTCCATCCAGAATACAAACAGCTCCATCCAGGATTCGAAGCGACCGTAGCACCTCAAACGTAAAATCGGCATGTCCAGGGGTATCAATCAAGTTAATCGTATGGGAAACAGCTGATCTCGGTAATCCTTTCTTGTCCACATCTTCTAGGGTTAAGCTGTTGGATGATTCCTCTTGCTGCGGAGGCCAGTGGAAAGTAATTGCAGCGGACTGAATAGTGATACCTCGAGCTCTCTCCGCTGGCAGGAAATCCGTCACGGTAGAGCCATCATCCACATCACCGATTCTCCGTGTAAAACCACTATAGTATAGCATTCGTTCCGTTGTAGTTGTTTTCCCAGCATCAATATGCGCTATTATCCCAATGTTTCTTGTTCTATTGAGATCTTCCACATTCCCACCGGGCACTGCTGTCGAGTATCTCCTCGGCAGGGATGCTCGAGATAGCCATTTTGATGCACCAACTCGACAGGTCGGCAGCAAGAACCGCCTTGAGAAGGTTGTTCCTAGCGGTAACACAGCTATAGTCATACCCAATGGCTCACGGCGTTGACGCCGGCTTCCAGTCCATGTATAGGGTCGAAGGTAACAAGTCTTGAAAGCAAGTCAGGTTAGTTACCCGTAACTAACTACCGCGTCAATTGAGGTCGAAATCCTCCCTGGCTATATCATAATATCACCGGATAAATAGAACAGCACTTAATCCTTCAATATCAATGCATCCATATTGTATTCTTTAAGTGACGATATTTTGCAGTTCGCGATGATTGATAGCCATCTGACTAGGGCGGCGAACCTGGACCAACCACGCACTTTTCTCCAACGCCGCGAACTGCATAACTAGTTAGTTAACCAACCAACTGAACATCCAGCTCCAGATCAACTTCTGACCTGCGGTTTGATCCCAAGTCTCTGCAGAAAAAAGGGCAAACGAGGCTTTCGCCGTATACACTCTCATCCGAAAGTGCAAAGACTTGTTCTTCGACAGCGTGACTGCCTGATTCCCTGGCCCCGAGTCGTTCGCGACACTTATCCAACGCCCACTACTCCACCTTGAACAGTCCAGCAACTGCCAGCATGGACTACTCCTCGATAACTAACGATCCTGATCCTACCGACTCGTCACCATGGGGTTCTACCTCTCCACGAGCTGCACGGCCATTTTCTGCCAGCAGTGACGTCCCTCCAGCGTTCCCCTCGCAGCATCAATCGCCCTATACCACCGACCAAGAAGGACCATACCAGCACAACGGCGAAGGCGGCGAGAGAGTTCACTCTCCCGGTGTATCGGATCATCCTGCGGATTCTCATCCTGTAGGTTCTCCAGAGGCACAAGCAGCATACCGGCATGACAGCCAACATCAGCAGGAGTACAGGCAGCAACAGCAACGATCGCAGGCTCCATCGAGATATCAAACCGGAGCTCGACAGCAGGCTAGGCCAAATGCACCTAAGTATAAACTACAGGCTAAGGTTACGGCACTGGAACGCACAGGGAAGAGAGACCCTGTAATTCGATTTGATGTTCACGTATGTTACCCTCCGAGCGGTAGCTTGATTATCGTGAAGTTGCCATGACTGACCACTCCATCTTTAATAGACGAATATCCCTAAGTTCCGAACTACACAGTTCCGAGATGTCCGGAGAACTCACTCTGAATTTATCAAGCTTGGAGATCACCTAATATCGTCTAATCCAGAGGCGTTGGTGCCTGCTGTCCCCCCTCCGCTTACTCCCGCTGGCGCTGGTACCGAAGAAGACGAGGTACGCGTTAAGGCTTCGATGCAACGATGGCTCAACTATGTATGCAGCAATGATGTTTTAATGGTCGATGACGAAATGATTCTTTTCGTCGAGAGCGATTCTGGGTACAGCCCCGTTGTCCGGATGAAGCAGCCTGCCACCGGCGTACGACGGAAGGTTCTAAAGCAATTTGCACCACCTCCTGATGATACACCAGAGCTGCACGATGCACGTCCAGTGGTAAAGCTGTTCTACCTTGGGACCATGGAGGCTGGTCAGAAGGTAGACCGGGTAGTAAAGGCTAGAAGAGGTACGGAACTTCGAGATGAAAATCACCAATTATTTATACAACGCTAACCACTATGAGAATAGCACTTGCTCTTGCGGAGTCTGACCTTGGAGTCAAACTTGGACAAATGCATGTTCAAGAGACCCATGCTGGGCTTGCCAATGCCTACAAGAAGCTCGGCAAAATTATTCAAACCACCGGAGACTACCATGCTGCTCAGGGAACCGCTGAAGCCACCACTCTAGGCGATCCTCTGAACTACCACTCGTCGGACGCTTTCATTGTGAAGGAAACACTAACGAATCGGCATATCCTACTTCGTGAATTGATTCAGGCGCAGCAAACGGCTAGCAGTAAGCGAGCCGCAGCAGACCGCCTGAAAGCCAGCACCTCCGTACGCCCTGATAAGGTGGACGAAGCCATAAGCGCCCTAGATGATGCTCGAGGCCACGAGGAATACTTATTAAAGAAAACCCAGCGGGTTACTAACAACCTCCTACAGGAGAAGCGCCGCTGGTTCAATCGGACCGCAAACGATCTACTACTCAGTCTCCGCGAATATACTCTCCGAGAGATCGAGGCTGAACGCAGAACCTTGAGCACGCTAGAGAGTGTTCGTGCAGATATCCGCTCCATTGATTCTTCCGGAGGTTTGAGTCGTTTAGGCCGTGAGTCCCACCCAGCTGCTAGACGAGCAAGCCTGGCTTCTAGCCAGGGCCCGAAGGGAGATGCATGGAGCGGTGTCGCTCGTCGTGGGGACAGTCTAAGCAGGAGTATCAGCGGAAGTTTCGTGGCTCCGGTGCCAGAGGTTGATGATGACGTAAATGGAACTATCCACGGAACAGGCAGAAGATCCCGCAGCGGAACCATCATGGAGGAAGATGACGACCGAGTCGATGCTAAAAATGCTGCCAGTCGACTGGCTGCCAGTACGTTTTAGATAACGGCTTAAAAAAAACACTGCTTGTCTATAGGTCCCGACATAGCTACTATGTGCTATTATTGTACTAGCTGGCGCAAATAGTTTAATTGCAAGTTTTTTATACATCTTCTGCGGATGTGATGAGTGATGAATCCGGCTGCTATTTTGAGCATCGTATTATGGGACATATTTCCAAACAGCTCCAACCACGCATCGACCAATCCAAAGGCAACGACGTCCCACCAAAAATAGTTTCTCAGGAAGCATTTCCAGCTGCAGGCTCCTCATCATCTTCTGTATACCTCTTCAGCCCGTCATTCGGAACGTCAAACCACACAGCCTTTTCTCCTAGGAAGATATGATCGGTGGGCTTCATGAGCTCCCCCTTAACACTCCAGTCGTCGAAGGAGCCAGGGCTTATGGAGACACTCTCCGGTCTCTCGTCCAGCTCGTATGTCAAAGTCGAGCCACAATCGCCACAGAAACCCCTCTTAGCAAAGTTCGAGGACCGGAAATATTTAGGAGGCTCGTTCAGCCATGTTATCGAGCTCCGAGGAAATCTGGCGAAAGTTGCATAGGGAGCCCCGGATATCTTGCGGCAGGTGATGCAGAAGCAATTGGACATGTATTTTGGCAGTGCAGTCGAAGTGTAGCGTATCTTTTTGCAGCAACAGCCGCCCTGCAGTACTATGGGTGAAGATGCCATTGTATTTTATTTTATTTTATTTTATTATCCCAGACTGAGTATGACCTTGATTCCTAACTCCTGCTTTTCACGGAATGACCGGGGTAATAGTTATTCATGCCAATTTATCAAGTCTTTAGTTTGGTGGGATTTTAAGTCAACTACTCCGTACAGAGTCTGCAGTTGATTGTTGAGAATACGAGATCCCGCCTGGATTTTCTAACAAACTGACTCCAGGATTAATAATACACCTGTTTCTTGAGCCCTTGTTCGCTAGTTATCCATTAGTTACCTGTTTTCCTGGCATTGGCGCTTCTATATAGCTGAAGCTGAGTGTCACTGCTATACATCGAGAAATATATGACTTCACCTGGGATAATATTAATCGAGTGTACTCCGTACACCTAGTGATAATACCTATTAGTTACTCTCCCCTGAGACACACATAATTAGTCAGTGCCTGTGACGCGCGTCTTGGCCCCCAAATCTCGAGCAGACTTGGTCCCCAGTCCACGTAGTTAGTTAGTTGGTTACTCCGGACGCGCATTATTGTTACCTTCTGACCGAAAAGGGCTTTATACATGATGCTCTCCGGGCCTAAGTAGGCAGTTCTGCCGGCCGTTGGGAGCCCTGGCTACAACTGCTCCTTGATAGACATGAAATGCAGGGTCTCGAGTGGCAGCCTGCGATGTCTATCCGTTCAGCCCCGCTGATAGTTAGTTAAGTGGAGAGGATGCCAAGAGAACTGAGGCTCCAGCTGCTTAGCTATCTCCGCGAAGAAGGTTCAACGACAAACCCTGTAGCCGCCGGAATTCTCAATCTTAGATGGGGGCATTGAAATATCTCGCCCATAACAATGCATTAGAAAAATCTTATGGAGTATCCAAATACTCCTTATTGAAGCCAGTTGGTACGTCAGCTAGCTAATTATTCGACAAACCAACTACTGTTAGTTATTACATGGGATATAGATGGACGATGTAGCTATTCAGGAGCTTTAGGCAGCTGTCTCATGTATAGGTTAGCTGCCTGTCGGTTACTTAGTTAGTAGCTGGTGTTTCCGAATCCTCACAAGGATCTTGCATAACTGTTGGATATTATTGCTTTTTACATGACAGCGGCTATATGCATCAAATAACCGTGACTCACCTAACTAGAGAACAGGGAAGGATTTCACCTGGAATACTGTTGTGAGGTGGCTAGATATTATTGGGTAGAGTAAGTAGCGAGTTGGACCATTTTTACCAGGTAGATACATGGTTTGAGCTAACGAACATATAAAAGTGGTTAGCAGTGGCCTGTTTGCACAGGGGTTGTATTAGGGAGTGTCTGGACTAATATATTGCTGCTTAAATTGGCTGGCTATCGATAGACAGAAAAGAAGCGTAAGGGGTGTTGGGTACCTATGCACCGAGAAGTTTCACTTAACGCCTTTCATACATGTTGGATGCTGAGAAGGCCTAGCTGTATGCCTCCGCCGCAAGAACCCCTGCTAGTGACTAAGCGTTGCTGGACATAGTTAACTATATAAGTCACCTCAACCACCCACAATGCTCCTGCCTGATATCCAAGCACAACAAACAACTACTATCAATCCACACTTTTCCAATATCAGTCCCTATCTTGCAGAATCCCTTCGTTGTAATAATGGCTTCACGTCCACTGTATCTTGTGGCTTTCCGAGGAGCTCCTTCGCAGCGAAAGCATTTCGCTATATTCCTTCCTAACGAAGGCGAAACTGAAAAAGGCACAGTCATCCATGTTGTCGGTGCCCCAATGGCCGGATACCAACACGAGTTCAAGCGGAATTACAACCCTTTCATGAGCAAAACATTTCATGCCGTCGTCCAGATTGGACAAATTGACAAGTCCCATATTGCCTATCCCCAAGGCGACAACTTTGAAAAAAGCGACACACCAATGGGGGATCTCGAAGTGACGGCTTCTCGGGTCCGACCACCTCCAATCAGTCAAAACTTCTTAGCTCCAGTCGATGGCGTACGTATATCCTTTTCAGTATCACCTCAGCTGTTACATTGTACTCTGGTTAACAAGTAACGCAGGTGACCAACAAGCGATGCCAAGAGTGGACTGTAGAGTTCGTTGACAAGCTCATCGAGAAAAACTACATTGATGCTCAAGCTCGAGAGATCGTGCAGGCTCACCGTGATCCCCCAAATCACGGTGTTGGCCTACAGCCAGTCGGCCAAGGACGCGGAGCCGCATGATAGCTAGCAGAGGGAGTGGCAGGGACCCCATTATCATTACCCAAGGGGCTAGGGGCTAGTTAGCAGGAGGGTGGTAGGAGGATAAGCTACGGTTGGGTGGCTAGAAGAGTAGGGGAAGGGCCTTGTATTCAATGACCTAGAACCTAGCTTGTGACGATACATTAGAAAACATAAATATTAAGCATAAAGGACAACTGCATCTGAAACATAATCATAGCTTATAAAGTAATATACTGTAAATATTGTCTAGCACCTAGATGGCCCCCATGAAGTGTGTATATTCAGCAAATATAAGATGCTCATCATGGTAGGGAGTTAAAAATTTTGACATCCACTTTTTTCTCCATTCACTATCATAATGAGAGGTATAGCAGGCTTTACACCACTCCCAATACTCTGGATACCAGCCGGATTGTTCCCAGTCTATTAGTGCGAGAATTTTAGGAGAGCTGCCTCGGGATATAATAATGTTGCGACCATGAATATCTGCATGTGTAAACTTGATAGTCGCATCATCAGGTAGGTATGGCCTATAGGGATCAACATAGTCGCTAGGGACAGAGAGCCCGATAAGTGGTAAAGAGGATATCCAGTCATGGAACTGTCGAAGATTTTTGAACGGTCCTCCGAGTGGGTGAGTTAAAAAGATATAATCACGAACATTTCGTCGATTAATAGATCCTAAAGTACCCGGTTCATGATAAGCATAGACAAAACCAATGATTGAAGAAAAAACTTACCAATAAACGGGCCACAAGTGTCATCGTACTGTAACTCCCGTAGGGATGTTATGATTCCATGGAGATCATGGCAGATAGATATTTTATCTTTCTCAGCCATGTCATCCCACCTGTCAGCTAGGGTATCCCCACGTACGAGTTGCATGTAGATAAACACAATCCCGTTACGGACTCGCCAACCAAACAGTTCCGGAACGGGCACCTTGTCACCGAACAATTCCTTCATTGCCCACATACATTGGGCTTCGGCAATTGTAATACGCTTGCCGAACTTCACGAGCAGCCCAAGATGGTCGAAAATAACGGGAGGTGGATCATAAAACGTTTTATGAGGGTAATTTGACATCCCCATAACTTCATCTGGTGTTGGGAGGTTCTCGTTCATTTTAAAGAAGGATGATCCACGAAAGTCCACTGTGTTCATCTCATCGCTGGGCAGCTGAGAAAGCAGAAGTTTCGGTTTGATTCGAGTTTCTGTCCGTTTTGTGTCCAAAGTGCTCAGATTAGAATCCTCTATTCGTGATGGAGCCATTGTTTCCAGACACAGAGGACGTTGCTTATAGCTTCAGGCTATGCAAAGGCGTGTTCCAATTTATTCCCTCTAGCTAACTACTTGAGGCTCGGTGCACGAAACGGTACCTGATGGAAACCGGGCAGAAGGAAGGACAATGGGCGTGCAAAAAGCCACTGGATATGGTTGACTATGGCTGGAACACCCTCCAAGAACAACCCTAGTCAACTCAAGATTCTCAATATGATAGCTTTCTTTGCCAAAGAATTTCCCTTATTGTCATTATTGTGTTGTTGTGTTGTTTGCTGTGTTGTTAGTGTTTCTTTGACATTTGACGTTCAACGAAGGCTTTTTATAGCACGCGGCCTAGTTCTATCACGTGACATGTAACTGGGACCGAAACTAACTAGGCGGCTTTGAAGCTTCAACTATCAAACTTGAACGAAAAAGAGGAAAAGGCGAAGTGAGGAAGCAAACGCCGCGACAGCCAGCTCCGGAGGGTTCCTTACGACGGCGAAGAGCCCTTTTCCTAGCTTGTATACCCCCGTGGATGACCGTAAGAAGGTATGAAAGTATCATGGACATTCCACTCGACTACCGTACAGATAGCTAACGTGGATACCGTTGCTTCAGTTCTCAGGCAAAGACTTCTCCGCCCCTACTGGCTCGACAGGCGCAGAGCGCAGGAAGCCCATCATGGCTCCTGTTGCAGGCAACAAGCGGAAGAGAGGCGATAGAAGTTGGTCTGGCGACTCGTCGAACGATAGCCCTAGGCCTTCTCCGCATCGCCCAAGTAACCTGAATCTGGCGCAGCAGCAACAACAGCAGCAAGGCAGAGATGGCCAGGAGGGCCGTGGAAGAGGTGGCCGGAGGTCTAGTCGTGGAGGCCGAAATACAAGGAGAGGTAGCGATAGCGCACATGTTCAGCACCAGCCGCAGCAGCACCAGCACCAGCAGCAACACCATCAGTTGCGTGAAAGTCCTGTCTCTGCGAAACCTGTCCCCGCACCAAATAGCAGCGAATCTGAACCGGCCAAACCCAATGGTGTCTCAGCCATCCAACCTTCTACAGTTCCAGCAGAACTACCGCAACAGGCCATTGTTACAAAGACCTCCTCCTACTGCTACGAATATGTTTCGCCCGAGAGTATGGCAAACTGGGCTGGAATTGGACAGCCAGCCATCATAGAAATCGGCACGAAAGCTCGAACGGAGGGTGATTCTCTTACTCTGTCGTCAGTATTCCAAGAGCTTGTGCAGTTAGCTCTCGAGGGCCGTGTGCCTCCTCAAGATCTTGGGAGCACGGTACGGGCGATTATCGGAAATACCGAGACTACCGACTCAGCTCTTGATCCACGCACAATATTCCTCGACACACTCTCCATTCTGACCGAAAGTGAGCCTTCTAACCCTAACCTCCGCCCTTTTCTATTCTCAACTGGTATCCCCTCCGAGACAATGCGACTTCAGTTGGAAACTCCACTTCTTCAATCCCTCGGCTTGATTCGTGATACTTTTGCCCGCATGGGAATCAGAAAACAGACCAACCTCTTATATCGACAGTCAAACTATAACCTATTACGAGAAGAGTCTGAAGGATACTCGAAGCTCTTAACGGAGCTCTTTACCACGAGCAACAATGAGCCTCCTTCCAGCGAGGTGGTCGAAGATACTTTCGAACGGGTAAAGGCAATGATAGGTGCTTTTGACATGGACGTTGGAAGGGCTCTTGATGTCACTCTGGACGTATTCGCTGCTGTTCTAGTCAAACAATATCGGTTCTGTGTCAAATTCCTAAGGGCAAGCTCATGGTGGCCAAAGGAAGATGGTATAGGTGGACATAATTCAATGTCTGGCTTACCCCGATGGGCATTGCCTGGGTCTCCTGGGTGGTCAACTACTGATGAGGAAAGAGCCGAGATGCTGCGACTAAATGAAACCCGAGATCAAGAATTCTGGGATAGGGTAAGGGAAATCGGCATACGTGCCTTTTTTGAGCTCGGCCGGCAACCCATTTCGGAGGAAGAACAGCGCAAGTGCATATCTGCGGCTGAAGGAGACACCGTTAATGATAGCGGCGAAACAAAAAAGTGGATTGAACAAACAGGCACGCTTCCACCCAGAGGGAATCGAGTGGCGGCGCAACTTCTCGGCTTTAAACTCCGATATTACTCTTCTGATGCACGAAACCCATCTGATGTTCTTCCCGACAACTTAATATACCTTGCAGCACTTCTAATTAAAGTTGGGTTTATCTCCCTGCGCGACCTATACCCCCATCTTTGGCGCCCAGATGAATCCATGGACGCTTTGAAGGAAGAAAAGATGAAGGAAAAGGCGGAAAGGGAGGCGGCGTCTCGTCATGGCGGAGCCGTCAATGCCTTAATGACTGCCGGTGCGCTGATTGATGACACTGTGCCCCCTCCTCCCCGAATCAGAGAACCCGATGCCAGATCTGCCACTCCATCCCGAGACCAGGATCATGACCAGGATAAATCCGCGGCTCCCAAGGTTGAGGACAAAGAACAGTTACCTGAACCAGCTGATCAGAAGGTTCTTCTCCTGAAAAGTTTACTCGCTATTGGTGCTCTTCCAGAGTCATTATACATACTAGGGAAGTTTCCGTGGTTGCTTGATGCCTACCCTGAACTTCTTGAGTTCATCCACCGCATTATTCACCACTGTTTAAACAAGGTGTATAACAATGTTCGACCATTAGCTGAACAAGATGAACTGAAGGCCCGCAAAAAGATTGTCAGCACTGATCAATCTACTACGCTATCAGGAAAAGTTCGACTTGGAGATCAACCCCCTCGGCGTATCCTCCGTTGGGCACAGTTAGACAAAGAAGATACTAATGATGGCACCGATTACCGATTCTACTGGGATGATTGGGCTGATAATATCCCAATTTGCCAGTCTGTTGACGACGTTATCGCTCTCTGTGGATCGTTTTTGAACCTATCCGGGGTAAAGATTGGAAACGATCCCAGCTTACTCACAAAATTGGCTCGCATCGGTAACCACAGCATGAAGAATGATCCATCTGAATCTAATATTTCACGCTGGAGAGACCTCTGCAAACGCCTTCTTGTCCCAGCTCTCAGTTTAACCAAAGTTAACCCTGGAGTGGTTAATGAAATATTCGAGCTACTGCAAAATTTCCCTCAAGATGTCCGATTTTCGATATATGCGGAATGGAATATTGGACAAACATCCAGATCACCAGATATAAAATCGGCGTTTGACCTAGCCCGCGCCCAAACGAAGGACTCCTTGAAACGCTTAAGCAAGACAAATCTACGGCCAATGGCTAGGACACTGGCTAAAATTGCATATGCCAACCCTGGAGTAGTGATCAATGTTGCCATCAGTCAAATCGAGTCCTACGAGAATTTGATTGAAGTTATAGTCGAATGCGCACGTTATTTCACATTCCTCGGGTACGATGTTTTAACCTGGGCATTGGTCAATTCCTTAGGGCAAAAGGGAAGAAGCAGAATGCAGGCCAGTGGACTGTTAGCTAGCCGCTGGCTTAATTCCCTGGCAACCTTCGCTGGCAGAGTCTTCAAACGATACTCCAGCATTATGAACCCTATTCCCGTCCTACAGTATGTCAGTGACCAGTTGCGCCAGAATAATTCCACCGACCTCCTTGTCCTTGAACAGCTTATTAGTTCAATGGGTGGCATTGTTACTGATAACAGCTTTAACGATGCTCAGCTCCAAGCTATGGCTGGAGGAAATGTCTTACAATCCCAAACAATGCTGCAGCTACTGGATAAACGACATGAGTCCAAGACAACTTCAAAGCGGCTCATGAAATCGTTATCTGATTCCAATTTGGCCGGATTGCTTCTTGTGGCAATGGCACAGGAAAGAGTAACCTGTATCTTCAAGGAGTCCGAATCCGATGCGGAATTGAAGCTACTCGGTAACATATTCGATGAGACTCATCGTGTGCTGACACAATATCTGGATCTCCTCCGATCCAACTTTACCGTCGATGAATTCAACTCTTATGTACCGGACGTTGTGGCTCTGATTAGTGAATTTGGAATACAGCCCGAAGTGGCATTCTGGATATCACGTCCAAGCATTGCTCAGCGTATCGCCGATGCAAGCAAACAGATCCAGGAAGTGATGGCGAAGAAATCGGAGGTAGAGGCTCCAGCTCCTGAAACAAGCCTTAACGACGACGTTGAAATGGGCGAAGATAAAGAGGCTTGTGAGCCAGTGGCAGAGCAAGGAGATGCAATGGCTGTGGATAACCAAGCGTCGTTTGACGAGGGTAAAGCTCTGCCGGGATCTACCTCGCCAGATCCTATCAACTCAGAGAAAGCCTCCAGCCCAGTTTCGCCTTTCAACCCAGTTGTTCAAGAACTGATGGATCAAATGAAATCATCTGTTCCTGAATCGTTCTGGGACGTTGTTGGCTTACCATTTTATATTACATTCTGGCAGCTCTCTCTGTACGACATCTATGTGCCCCAAAAGTCTTATGAGGACGAAACGGAACGCCTAAAGAAACGAGTTATCGCTATTTCACACGACAGGTCGGACATGAGCTCGGCTGGCGTTCAGCGCAAGGAGAGAGAGAAGAGGCAAATTAATGAACTTCATGACCAAATATTGGACGAGAACAAGCGTCATATCCGAGCCTACGGACAAACTCGTGCGAGGTTACAGAAGGAAAAGGGCCAATGGTTTGTTGGAATGCGCGTTAAACACGAAGCTTTGAATATTGCTCTCATGCAGCAATGTTTCCTTCCCCGTACCTTACTCTCTCCTATTGATGCTCTTTACAGTTTCAAAATGCTCAAATATCTTCACTCGTCCGGCACTCCTAATTTCCGAACAGTGGGCCTATTGGATCAGCTCTTCAGGGATCAACGATTGACTAGCATTATATTCCAGTGTACAGCAAAGGAAGCGGACAATTTTGGACGCTTCCTTCTCGAAATTTTACGTGATCTCAGCAGATGGCATGCAGACAAAGCTGTGTACGAAAAAGAGGCCTTCGGAACTAAGCGTGACCTCCCTGGTTTTGCTAGAACGATGGATCCTGAAGGAAAACCTACAACTTTCCTAGACTATGAGGACTTCCGACGGATTTTGTATAAATGGCACCGACAACTGAGTGCATCTCTCAAAACTTGCTTGACTGGAGGCGAGTATATGCACATTCGAAATGCAATTAGCATTTTGAAAGCTGTGATTCAATATTTCCCAGCTGTCAACTGGATTGGTCGTGATATGCAAACATGCGTGACTGCACTGACAAATTCTGATCCCCGGGATGATATCAAAATCCCATCGGCAACCCTCGTTGGAGATTTGAGTAGGAGAGAGAAGAAATGGCTGCTTCCACAAGCCTTCACAATCTTGAATCCGGGTGCCACAACTGGAGAATCCAGCAATACGCCAAAGAATGAAACTGCTGGACAGGAAGACCGGGTCGCTGGCGGTAAGCCACAGACACCACAGCCGCAATCAACTACTTCCAAGCCCCTTAATGCCAACGCACCTGAGTTTCAACCTTCTGCTGCAACCATCAAGTGAGTCGATCCTACCTACCATATATATATCCTTTGGCGAACAGCTTCTGATGACCTATAGAACAAATGGCACCACGGCTACTCCTAGCACTGGCCGGTTAGAGGTTGAAGATGGAGAGATTGAGGACGCAAAAAAGGAAGAGGTAAAAGCCACGGAAGATTCCTCCAAAACTGAGCCTTCGAACCCTGCTACTCCAACACCCACGCCGGGTATCCAAACAAGCACATTGGATGATGAGACGGCCACCCAATACCACGATAAACCTCAAGCTACGGAGGTACCCGAGCCCGAGGATGCTCAGATCGACCGCAGTAGTACGCCCATTGCCAGTAGAGATGGAACTCGTGGCCAGGACGCAGGTAATGACCTATCTCCACAAACCGGCTCCGGCGCTGGAACCCGGACGCCGTCGGAATCGTCGCATCCATCCAGTTCCTCAAGACGAATGGACTTCGATCGACATGGAGCTAGCAACTCAGGGCTTCGACCACCTGCTAATCTTCCAAGTAAACCTGATCTTCCGCGGCAGTATCGACATTCTGACCTGAGAGGCCCGGGAATGCGATCGAGTGAACCATCAGGCGACCGACGAGAACGAGATACGCGGGATTATAAGTATTCTGAACACGGTCGCCTTTCCAGATATGGCCCTCATGACCATGAGAGATTAGTTGAACATCCTAGCATGGTTGAGCCTCGTGGTTTTGGTCGGCTTTCGGAGAAGGAAATGGCACACAGGCCATACCCAGAAGACCATCTCGGGCGGCCACCTCACATGCGAGAACACACAGGCCCTCGAGATCAAGAATGGAGAGAACGACATAGCCGCGGGAGGCTTAATCCTCCAGACAATCTTAGTCAACGACCAGACCATCCCCGATCATTGAGGGATGACATGAACATGCAACATCCGCATGAATACCCGCACCGCCCTGGACGGCCATCAAGGGAAGACCGAAGGCCCCCACCACATGGTCATGGCTCGCGCCCTCCAACTCCATCACAGCAAGACGATCAACGACCTTCTTCATCTCGAATGGACAGGCATGATGATCGTGATAATAGAAGTATGCGTCTTGCACCACAAGGCCCTGCTCGACATGACGATCTACCTAGCGGACCTCGTGGAACTCGTGCTCCGCATGGGAGCATGTCGGACAGCCGTCCACCCCAGGAGTACCAGCGAGACGGGAGGATGGGGCACCTACCGCCTCCAGACCCAAGCTACGGCCGCCTAAATCAAGACTCACGATTCCCATCCGGGCGTTCTGGTGATAGCTTCGAGCGTAACACTGATATTCCATCGGGCCCAAGAAGGAACAACCAGCCTGGCCGCGGTGGCAGAGCAGTGTCTGCCGCAGGGCATCATCCCTCTAGTTCATCAGCCAATGCCGATCGGCAGCCCCCTACTGGGCCAGCAGGCTGGACCGGACAACGGGGCCAATCCCACCAGGACCGCTCCTCTCAGGGAACCGGCGCTCAGGAAGACTCCAACGTGAATATCAACAACATGGATACGTCCGGAATTCACCCTGACCGGCTGAAGGCCATGCAAGACCCGAACGACCAAGGAGGCAGACCCGGTGCACCACCCTCTCAACAACAGAATCTACCTCCTTTAGCACCGCCATCAGGACCTAGGGGTGGTGCCCATGGCCCACCAAGTTCGTCCCCAACCACTCGTGGCCGCCCTTCCGCAGCAGCTCTGAGCGGTGAAGGCGGCCGGGGAGACAAGAGATTCGCTGGACTTAACAACATGCTGCAACAATCGTCCGGGCCAGGCGGTGATAAATCTGGACAAGGCCCCATGAGCAGAGGCAGGATGTCGAATAGACAAACCGGTTCTACCAGTGGTCCATCGCCTCAATCAACCAGACCTCAGCCTCCAAATGATGTAGGCCCTGCTGGCGGCAGCACAGGAAAATCAGAGTTATTCCCAGCACGATCTAACGGTCCTCCACCGACACCAGAAGAGGAGAGTCGCAGACCTGGTCGGTCCAGCCGTCGAAGCGAGATCGTAGACGAAGCATCCAGCTCTCGACGGTCTTCGCATTCGAATACTCCTCTGGATCGTCCCATGGATCGTTCAATGGAAAGGCCCAGTGACCGTGTTGAAAGAGATCGTGAACGCCGAGCTGGCGAAGAGAGTTCAAGAACCAGAGACACCAAAAAGGATGACCGCCGGGAACGACCACGAGAGCGCGATCGTGACCGTGATAGAGGCCGGGTTGATGAAGTTGCCGAACGTGATGACGCCAGGGCTTCCCGAGACTCCTCTACCCGTCGCAGCGTTCACAGCTCAGGCGGTAACACTGCCGAGGTGACACCAACTACCAACCGCCGGAGAGACAGACGCGAACGTGATGATGGACGTGGCTCTGGAAGCGGTGGCGGCAGCAGTGGTGCTGCTGGTAAAGGGATTCCACTACCTCCACCGCCTCCTCCACTTCCAGGAGATAGACCTCTTGACAGATGGGGTGGTGCCGGCCCTGGCCGAAGTGATGATAGGCCCCGAGATCGTGGCGATCGCGACCGTGAGAGAGGAGGAGGAGGAGGAGGAGGAGATCGAGACAAAGAGCGAGATCGCAGCGATAGGGGCCGAGATCGTGACAGGGACCGCGGACGGGACAGGAGAGACGGTCCAAATGTAGGGCCAGATGGGCGCGGACCGCCTCTAACCCCTACCGGCGGCCTAGGGGGCGGTGCTGGCAATACCGGCCACAACACCTGGCCTCGTAAAAGAGGCAGACCACACGGAATGGGAGGAGACGAAACCCATGAACATTCGCCAAACATGGGCGGTCCTATGAGACCGGGTCCAGGAAGTGACATGAAGCGGCAGAGACGCTGACGATATATTGATTGATTAAAGCAAAAACATGAACCAATCCACCTACCATCAACTATCACCTTCACCTTAAAGCCTGATGACCACTCTACATTTTCTTTTTCTTTCTCTTTTTCCTTTTTTCCCCTCCATTCCCGACATCACTACTCTACTGTTCCATTGCATTTATTTCCTTTTCTTCTTCCTGTTCTCTTTCATGTGTGTTGATAGCTGGGAAAACGGATAACTTAGGGGGCCATGCATTTCATCCAAAGAGTTTGTTTAACTAGTCAGTACCCTTTTCTACCTCTAGTCAGGAAGACGCGCTTTTAGGCCGTGAGCTAGATAGTCAGTGGAAAGATCAAATTCTTGATTATCATTTGGCTATAATTCTTAAGATGGTCCAACTTCGAGCTATATAGAATTATTCAACCGGACTTCACAGCTTGTACCTAAGAAAAGGAGCCTAAAAGCGATATCTATATGGGTTCAATGACAAAAAGAGCCTCCTCTACCATCCAGAGACCGATGATCTAGCTTTGCAGAAACCGAACTGGCAAACATTCTGTCGTTTGCTTTGGGACACTTCGGCGAAGATAAGAGCTCCAAAGTTTTTTCTCGTATTATATTTATTAACTAGGACTTTGGATATACAATATCTAATATATATATAGACGTTACAGCACATTACTCCCCCCCCTGTTTGGCAGGTTTGGTGTTGCATTCAGAGAATCTGTTACTCCGTAGTCATCTTTACTATTTAATGCTCTACGAACCGCTTAATGACTGATAATTAATATCGACTAAACCAAACGTCTATACGACTGTCCAGTACAACAAACAGGACACTGATCCCGGTGGATATACTAACATTGGAGTAATTAATTGAGGCGGATAAGCTGCTTCTAACGAGAAGTTAAGTCGTTTCCTGAGCCTTGCCAACCGGGACGGCTTCTCTGAAAAGAACTTTTAAAACATCTTCTACTTATTGAGTAGAAGTAGAGGTCTCTATCTCCCCGTGTTAAGGGTAAATGAGATAAAATCTATAGAGTATATATACTCTTTTTACCTTTGGTGCATGTTTCAATAGATATTTTTTTTAAGACCCTGGGCTGTCTTTACCTAACTACTGCAGTCAGCCTGATATACCACGCACGTCCTTCACCTTCTATTCATCTGTCTTTTCTCCGAGTCCTCTCTCCATGCCTATATATCTAAATTTAAGCCTGTCGTTGTGACGTGTTATGCGAGGCTGAATATTAAACTTCCACCTTCGGCCAACCACCAACAGTCAATCCAAGCGAAGGGAAGATGTCGAATGACTTTCATCGTATTTGGGCATGATTGCTATGTAAGACCCCCGCATTTTCGATGCCAGGATGATAATGCAGGTCGTATTCATAATTAGTTACAGAGTCAGGAACTCAAGTTCATTAGCTTAGAAAACGTGGGAGAAAATGCAACCGTGCGCATAGGACGAGCAGAAGAAACCAAAAACCCTGTAGTGACAGATGCATCGTAGACAAGAAACGGCAGCATATAAGGGAGAGAGAGATTTGGGGGGGTATACGGAACGAAAAACCGAAGCGGAGAGAAGGGAAGAGACGACCAAGTGTCCTGACCAAGGGGTGTGTCTCTGGAATGCCTTATTAAAACCAAGTAGATGTATCAGAATAAAAAAAAAATGTAGCAACGCCAGGATGGAGACGCAGTGGTGAGAAAACGCTAAAGAGGCTGTGCAGATAATAAGCAGGACGGGGGGAGAGAGGCCGCTGTGATGGTGGTGTGGACGATGGAAGGGACATCTCCGAGTGGGCGCATACGGGTTGCAGGTGGGTATAAAGTCCGTATATCGCGCGTAAAGGGGAGATAGGAGAAGCGGTGTTCAGGTAGCCTCAACCACCATGCCCAAGCCCATATTTCTTCGGTTGGTGCTTGATGCTTTCTTTTTATTGAATCCGAACTTGGAAAGCTTCTTGACAAAAGTCTGCACTCGTGACAGCTGGCTGGCAGTTGTCGCAGCACTCGCAGAAGTGGCCGGTGGAGTGGAGGTACTAGTCGCGGCGGTGATATCGCTGGACGTGCTGGTAGTGGTCACTGTGGTTGCTGAGGTATTGGTGGCATCCGTAGAAGAGTTTGAGGAGCTCGACGAAGATCTCTCGTCGGAGGCCTGTGTTGCTACTGGCACCAATCCCATGCTCTGGCTGATAGGACCGGGCGTGCTTTCAGCATGTTGACGAATATCCGTTTCTGTAGGTGCGAGAGTCTCTGTATCACTGTCTTGGTAGCCCTGTCTGCCAGCCGTGCGACCTGCGAAAGGGTGTGGTGCATCTTCCGGCCGAGTTTGGAGGGAGGACTCAGGGGCTGCAGGCCCGGTTGGGGATGTGGACAGGCTGGTGCCATGGCTGACGCTGGGAACCTGGCAGTTCCGAGATGTATATGGATACGAAGGGTCTTCGACTATGATACCAGTCTCTGTATGCATAGGAGCAGATGTTGTCCGTCGTATTCCCATCTCCGGGGAAGGCTGGTCGGTAACAACGCTGGCGCTATTGGGAGCCACGGGGCCAGAAGTAGGCAGCAAGCTGGAAGATGGCAAGTCTGTCCGAACAAGCGGTCTACGGCGTCCAGATGATGCACTCTCTGGTGGGATACTGCTCCCAGAAGCATTGCCTTCGTCCACGGAGCCTATAGGCCGTTTATCTGGTGGGTGATCAGCCAGTTTGTGACGCTCATGTTCGTGCTGGGAGTAGCCCGGATCCGGCTCAGGAATGGCAGCACGCCGGACAGGCTGGCCCTGGTTCTTGACCCTATGATAGAGCAGGATACAGGCGTGTCGAAGGTGCACCAGCGTCGTAGGGTCGATTACTGGCCGGTCTGCCAGAGGTGACCCCGGACGTATAGGGGCCAGGGTATCGTCAAAATTGTAGTATCTCGATTCATCCACAACAGGCGCGGGGTGAGGAGAGATAAATGGGCGTTTCTATCAGACAGTCAGTCCACAATTCAGTGCAGTAAATTCGTACATTCGGCATATAATAATAATATTAACGGGAGGTGACAGGGGGGAGGAGGAGTAAAAACACACCGAACTGGTGAACTTGAAGTTGAACCGCCGCCGCATGGCAACATCCCACGCTTGCTGGGTCAACATTTTTCGCCTCTGGCAGCCAGTCCTTTGCCTGGCAGTAGGATGGACAGGTCAGGTTTATGTAGATCTGCCAGACAGAGCTTTTCTCGCGGTCTCTGGGTGCAACGACACGGGTTATAAGAGAAGATCTCTCGGGCTCGGCTTCGTGTTTGCAAGGGCGGTTTGACCGCCAACCCGAGGCTCGACGGCGATATTGGAGCGGCAGCAGAAGTGACAGCGGGAGCTCGGAAGTGATGGCCAAAGGGCGGGAGGGCGATATTTGGCCGAAGCGAGACAGCTCGGGGCTGGTGATGGCTCGTTGGCTAGCTTGCGGTGGTGCCGTGGACGAGACGAGCAGCGGGCGAGGACGACGGCGAGGATGGACAGAAGATCAAAGTCATCTTGAGCAGACGACGGGGCAGAAGACGAAGACGGAGAAGAAGAAAAGGGAGACAGCACAGAATAAGAACCTAAGACTCAGACAGCGGGTTGATCGTTGTGCGGCCGAAGGGAAAGGAAAAATGCGCGTCGATGGCCAGCGATGCACAGCTATGGCCGGGCGAGGTCGCTGTACCTCCACATGCATGGTGCGGTACCTCGGCCGCCCGCAAAAAACAGTGGCACGCGAGGTACCTCGCCATGGGGCCGGGGTCGCCCCTTTAAGCCGCAGCCATCGCCCGGCATAGTTCGCCATAGTCCCGCATAGCCCTTCTGCCCCAGTTGTTCGGCCATTCCGCGCTGCCAAAGAGGACATCTACATATACATGTTTACGGGGTCGCAGGTGAGAAGAACACTGGTCGACTGCAAAGTACTCCGTAAGTACATCGCTGGCCGGTCCTCTGCCTGATCTACATGATGGCTGCTTGTTCCACTTGTTCCACGAAAGAAACGGGCTGGTTAAACTAACTAGTTAATCACAATCTGTCCTACCCCTTAACGGCGCTATTGATACACAGCTTCTCGCCTGCATTGTGCGAATAGGAGTCAATGTTTGTACACAGGCTTGAACGCTAGCGACCCCACGCTATCTCCTTTGTTCCTGTGGTTCTTCCCCGTTCTTTGATAGTCGCGCGCCCCCTGTCTATATATATACATATATAACAATGGAGTCGTTAGTTAGGGCGTAAGGAGAGGGTCCATTCCAGAGCATTTCCACGGCTAGAGCGAGCGTCTAGACACAATTCGACGCCAGCGTTAAAGAGTGTAGCGGAATGTAGGCGCTTTATCGCCTAACTCGCTCAATTCCTGGTCACTCAGGCCCCGGGTTCCCTCTCGCTCTCGTTTAGCGTTGACCCGCTTGTAGGCCTCACGCAGGAAGATGGCTGATATCACTCCAGCAACCAAGAACCCAAGTTCAAGGGCGTGGCCAAGAGTGTACTTGGGTGCGTCTGGCGCTCGATAGAAGTTGGACGCCATGGCTAAGGGAGGAGGGTTAGTCGGTCATATTGCTAACAAAAAGCAAAAAGAAAAGGAACGGTACGCATATAAGGACAAAGGGGTCTCAATTTTTGGCTCACCTCCTGACATGTTGCCTGTTCCGATCTGGAATGCCATGCCCGCAGAACGTTTGTAGCTACCAGCAAGATTGTTGGCTAGCCATGTTACTGCACCGGGAAAAGCAGGATAAATGCCTATATGGGTGCAGGTTGTCTGTTAGCATGTTGCATCATACGGCTTGATTTCGGATCTTCACAGCTTACCGCAGATGGCGATGAAAACACCTGCATACACTACCCCTGGAACACCTCGTCCTGCAGCAGAGATACAGATGATGAAACCGATGCCAATCAAGCACATGCACCCAATGACAAAGGGTGAGCGCTTGCCACTTCTGTCAGAGTAGAAGGCGATTACAACGGCAAGTGTTGCTGCAGTCACGTATATAGGCACCGTTAGGAGCTGCGCTGTTGAGGTCTTGTACCCCAGGTCTTTGATGATACTCGGCAAGAAGAGTGAGGTTCCATACAGAGGGCAGATGATGCCCACGCAAACTGAGTCCCCTTGGTTAGCATTGACTAAAAAAAGCCCGAGGATAAAATACAATTGAAACCAGGGGCATACCGAAAAGTGATGCATAGACTTGCCAGTCTGTGAATACCTCCTTGATGTACTTCCATTTAAACTCCTCCGTCTGGACTACTCTCCTCCCCGACGAGCTAGACCCCTGATACTTGAGGCGGTGAATAACAAATTCCCGCTCCCTGGGAGTTAGGAACGATGCTGTTTCGGGGAAGTCTTCAAGGAAGAAGTATGCGCCAGCTGCCACAACAACGGTCAGGAGGCCCTCCAGAATAAAAATCCATCGCCATCCTTGATACCCTCCCACCCCGTCCATTTTCTACATCTCGTCAGCTAGGCCGGGATAAGTAATCCGAGAATAACTCACTGCAATAGCAAATGCCAACAGGCCAGAGAAAGCACCTGCAATGCTGGCAGCACTGAAAAACATGGCCTGCCTAAGTTGCACCTCGTGTCTGCAATACCACATAGTGATATAGTATGCAACCCCAGGGTATAATCCGGCCTCTGTTTGTGCTTATCAGCCTTCCCATTGCTCTCGTGAAGAGTACAGTCAAGTCCGACATGCTTACCGGCAACACCCAGGAAAATCCGAGCAATCAACAATCCTTTGTAATCCTGTACAATCCCCATCAAGGTCTACCTCGATATTAGCATAGACCACCATGCATCCTGATGTTTCACTGCCCTACCACAACGGTACCCCATGCAAGCATAATCGAGGGTAGATCTAAACAGTAGTTAGCATGTCTAACCTTCTTGCATTCACGCCCTATCAATAATAACGCATCCGACTTACAAAGTGAAGGGCGTAATCTCTTCAACAGGATATTGGACGGGACCTCAAAGACAGAGTATGTAAAAAAGAACACAGTTACTGTCAAGATATTTAGTTACGATCTGGTTATCAGTTGCATTGGGAATTGAAACTTACAGCACCAATTGAACTGGCCTCCTTTAAGGCCCAAGTCAACATCCAATCCCTCAATCTTCGCATTTCCAATATTACCCCTATCCAAGAATGAGAGCAGATAGAGGAGTGCTAGTGCTGGGATCAGACGCATGTCCATCTTCCTGATCACCTTCTTCTCGTTGATATCAGAGAAATCAGGCTCAGAGCTTGAAGTAGACCTCAACTCGCTGTCATGCTTCTCTGAGACATCAGGCCCATTATTCCGTTCAACATCCTCTCGCATCTCCGTCTCTGGCTGCTTTTCTGATATTCCCATTATTGTTCACGTTCACCTTTTGATATGGTCGGGTCGGAAACAGTGGCTAAAGGACAATTCCTCGAGGAAAGGGAAAACGAGAAAAGCAGACAGGATGTATAGGGGATTCAGGGCATATATACCCTGATATCCACACATCTTGCACTTCTACCGTCCAAGTCGCCCGCATCCCACCTTTTCTTCTTCCAAGTCGCAAGGATAAGGACATCAGTTTACCATGCGTCTCTTGGCCATGGTCGCCACATAGAGTTAATAAACTACCTCGGAATCTCCTCTTCGCCTGTCAAGCCCATGCACTCCCCCGCATATATGGAGTTGGTCGGCTATGGCCTTCTATCAGAACCGGTTTATCATGGAGGCAAGTAAGAAGTTACGAGAACTTGTAAGGACGCCAACGGTTGACCGCAACCGACAACCATACCACAGACGAAAGATCGGCCAGGTCCCAGGCTTAAAAAGGAGGCTAGATGCACGGTTTATTCCGAAGACCCCAGCTTCTGTAAAGTGGCACTGGTTGGGTGAGACGAGATGAACATTGCTGCTCGAAGACGCTTTCCGAGTGGTAGCAACTGTTGAAAGCAAGATTGCTAGTTAACTAACGAACTAGTTAGTTGTCCGCTGTTGCTTGTGGCACGCTTGATATCAAGCCAGGCGTGTCTACTATTATTGGGCAGGTTGTTCAAGGCCTCGGCAATCTTCTCAGGGACTAACCCTGCGAGGTCCCTGCGACGTAATGCAGGGAGGAGAAGAGCTCTCAGACGTATAACTCGGGCCGCATGTGCGTATTCAAAGCATTCTGACAAGGGTTCGTTGCCGACTTGTTTGTCCGCATTGCCAATGCTCAATAGTTAGACTAGTCAATGACCAAGCTAGATAGACCCGGTCATTATGCTTTCCAGCAGCCACTTCTCATTTCACGATTGAAGGCGAGGGTTGCTTATCTATTGACTTGGAAAAGAGAGCAATTCTTGTGTGACGATATTCTAGAGATGCAGCCTGCCAAATGTCATGCAAGAGCGGCGTACAAAAACTGCAAGGAAACTCCGGATTAAATTTGAGATCCGAGATATTATTGGAACGTTTGATCTGCATGGGATGAGAGCTTAAATATACTCAGTGGCTTTCCGTCTCCTAGATCTTCAGAACCAGCCTGGGGGTTAATGGTTAGTCTGTTGTGTTAGTTACTGATCCAGAAGACCCTGGGCATCATGTATGGAGAAAATACTTCAAAGTATTACATAGAACCTCACGCAACAAAGGGATCACCCAAACGAAAAGGTGTTTTCATACGGAGAACTCCATGCATATTTATTGTTCCATAGGATTAGTTAGATGTCCTTCCGGTACTCGCAATGCTGTAAGTCTGCGGGAGCATGTTCCTAACGTGTATCTCAAGCATTCCGCCTTATCCACCAGATGCAGGATATGTTCGGGGATCCCTCGAATGGGAATCCGCTATTCTGGCACTGTTCGAATATTTCGCGCATCGATGCAGCCTGTTTATCCGTGCCTGGGTTGCAATGGTGCTGATCATCACATAAATACTTATCTGTGCCACGAATACTCTGTAAGGATGATTTCGATACCCAATTCCATCGACTTCTTGAACGATACATCTCGTTCATATGAATCTGCACCAGTAATTTCATAACTAGGGGCATGCGATCGTCTTAATGACCATAGGCGATTCCAGTCGACAAGGTCTCTCTGATGATGCGCACATCGCTTTCTCCCAGCAATTCGATCGGACATTTGGCGCGCTTTGATATGTGGCAAATGACCCATTTCTGTCATGTGTTGAATGGGGAACCTCCAAGTTTAGGGTTGAAGATGGGGTAATACTCCATTCCCTGAGAATGCTCAAATCCCGTCTTTGAGTCTTGTTCACACCAGCTCTTGCTTCATCATAAAACGAGGCATTCGCCTCTTTGCGCGCCTCGTTGGTCCAAGGACAACCGAGACAATCATCAGGGCAAAAGCCACCAAGAAGAATATCCAGAGATAATGATACAGCCATGAAAGGACTGCAACGTCGTTTCCATGCCATGTGGATCCAGGGAAATGCGAAAAGAAAGTATATTCCGTTGTGTCGTACAGCTGCGACGGCAATATGGCAAGGCCGTGTGGCCCCTTGAAACTGGCTATATCATCTTTTGCACCCGTCTTCAATATTTCGAACCACGACAAGACAATTCCGCTAAAGAACATCGGCCCTGTGGTAAAGAATACTGTTACATACTTACTGACGTACCACCGGTTGTGATCATAAAGGCTTAATGCAGCTTTTATCATCAACGGGTGACCGGGAGAGCTCGCCATCAGGTCGTTGCTGACACCATAAGGCCATGTTCGCGGTACCCATGCCGGGAAATCAAGTAGTGGGCGAATATCACGTCGACATCCTATATCCATATCCATGTATATTCCACCATAGTGCCAGAGTAGGAAATATCGCAGCGCATCCACCCGCTGAATCCCATATCTATACCCATCATACGTGGCTAAAAACCATTTAAAGTTAGCCTCGATGAAATCGCGAGCTTTTTCGTCGGTCCAGAAGTAGTGCTGATATTCCGGGAGCAGAACTTGACAAGAGTTATAGGCGTCTCTCCAGATTTCCGGAAATTCTGGGGTACTATAAGTTCGGTGTATGATTCTTGGTATTGGCGTCGCGTCTTTATCCTTCAGGAGGGTGACATTGTAGGTTGGCTGATTCTTGCTGATGGCATCCTCGAGTGCCTTCACATAGCCTTGCGGCAGGTCGTCTAACGATATGGAGTTTCGACTCAATGCTAAGTTTAGGGAATTGTACGAATGTATCAGGGACGCACAAGTGTACAGGAACAGTAAAACAAGAGAGACTAAAAGGGGGGCATTCCAGACGAAATCAAGCAGACGAAAGGGTAGAGTACGAAGCAGTCTCCTTTTGCCGAAAAGATAGCCCACAAGAGACATCGTTACAAAACCGCGAAAACTGCTGAGCTCTGCTTTATGGCCTGCAAGAGACGAGGCTCCCTCTGCCGCTTATATATAAAAACTTCCATGCTGCGAGGGGAAGAATTTGGGCTAGAGAGTGAAAGGATTAGAGCATTCCTCTTTTGTCCCCACTGAGCGGACGCAGAAAGGAGCAGCCTGTAGGAAAGATTTCGGTTCCCCTTGGTTCCTTATTCGGTAGATTCCAGGTCCCAAACTCTCTATTTAGGCTGTTTTACTTGTTCGAGAACATGGCGCGCTGCTTAATTACAGCAAGACCCTGGGTCACATGGAGTTGGAACGGGTCTCTTTTTGGAACGCTCCGTATATGGGGTATGTCATTCGCACCCTGCTTCATAACCGCTTCTTACTGGCTCAGGAGGTCAAAGATGGCAGATGGTTGTGGCGCGAATTTGCAGGAAGGTTTAATCTTCCGGATACGGTAGAGTTAACTACCGTCAAGCTGGCTTGTTTCTTTTGCGACTGCCTGGGGGACGAGTCCTGTAAGCAAGTAAGCATGCCTAAGTAGATTTGAGACAGGGTAACTTAAATTTATAACGGCTATCCCAGCTCAATAATATGTGCGTCCATATGTGCAGGCAGTAAATTAAACAGCACTCGCAGTATATGCAGGCCTAACACTTTCTCCTGACGCAAGGCCGAACGCTCCATGAATGGCTGGCGAAGAAAAAGCTTGCAGGCCGATGGCAAAGTTTATTTGAACAGCGTCTTCGCACTAACGAGCTAACTAGCTAACTAATTGGCTAGTCAGGCAACTTATGCAGCTTCTCACACTGCAGCAATTGGCCAGTCTTTCAGGTAGACAAGAAGAGCTGAAGAGACGACTTGCACGAATCCACCCAGAGGACTCGGTCGCATTCAATGCGAGCGCATGCAACCGTAGGCGAGGCTCTCAAAGAAACCACTCAAGGTTAGCCGTTGCTTGGGTTCTTTGCTCGCAAGAGAGGCTGATGAGGGAGATTAGTTACATGCTACCTCTCGGAGACATAGTTTGTTTGGTGTCTCTCGTATTCGCGCTGACCTCGCCCAACTAGGCAATCTTACTCGAGTCACCGGCATCCTCTGCAGGACGCAATAATACAGACAACGGATGGCTGACGGGACACACAGCGCAGGGTGTAGGATTGGTAGGAAGCTGCACAGTCGGAAATACGGCGATTGTTGGTTTTTCTGTAAGGACTATGGTCGAGTGGTTTTCGCCTGGGTGTACGCATGCTGAATACGCGTTCTGCGGCTAAGGCACAGCAAGTTAAAATGGTCGAAGCCCTTGTTGTAGCTTGAAGCGCATTTAGCTCTAGTTAAGTATATGCCGGCTATTTTTAGGAAACCCTGTGTTGCGTAATCGCATAGAGAGCGAAACTCTTCATTGCAGGGCATTTGGCATCGCATGCAGGTTTATGTAATATCGATGAGAGATGTCGAGGAGATAACGTGAGGCAGTTATCTGAACCCATACTGTTGACAAGGGAATGAAAGAGTTGGTCCATCATGCGAGATCAGCTGAGGTGTGTTGTTGTTGAATACATAAAAGTCTAGACTGTATGGGGCAATAGTGCGCGCTTCAATCATGACAAGCTCCAAATCGACGGGAACTAGTTATCCTGGAAGAGAGAGAAAAAAAAAAAAAAAAAAAAAAAAAAAAGGGAATCCACCTATGCCAAAAAGAATATTCAGAATAGAAGGGGAATCGTAGAGCAGTTGGATGCTCGGTGATAATATCAAAGCCAAAATAAGCAAGAAGAAAATTGTGCATACCCAATTACGACGCTGCTGACGTCGATACTCTCACCACGCGGTGATGTCGTCTACCTCCGCTTCGCCGAAGGTGCTACTTTTCGTGAGCTTACCAACATGGTCACCAGCAGGATTCGCATCTGTTTCTGAAGGAGCCATGATATCAGGTAGAACTTCCCTGAAGAACTCCAGGATGTATCTGTTCACCTGCTCGAACTGCAGCAAGAAAGCGTCGTGCCCCTCGGGGCTGTCAATATTTTTTAGCCGTGAATCCGGAATCCCATCGGCGATTTCTTGCTGTTCGGCGAAAGTGAACAAGCCATCGCTTTCAATCCCAAGGACAAGGGCGGGCTGCTGTATTTGGGCTAACGCATCTTTTACGGGCGTCTGAGACGTCTCGTCTGCTCGATGTCTCGAAACATCATGTGTATCCAGTTTACGGGTAATTGCAATATAACAATTGCTGTCAAAACGCTTGACAAATTTCTCTCCCTGGTATCGCAGATAAGATTGGGCAGAGAAGTAGGTTGCAGGCCGCTTGGATAGTTCCAGAGATGCAACAGAGCCCGGAGATGCAGGAGTTGGTGCATGTGCAGTGTATACAGCTGCACCCGTAAATTGAGGATCAGTGAACTGAAGCTCTGTCAGTGGTTTAGGTGTCTGAGCTCCACTTGACGGCCGGGATGGCCGTGTGCTCTTATGGCCATCATTATGGACTGCCCAATGCTCGTTGGGCGGAGTTGGCAGGCGCTGGGTGCCGTTGATGTTCTGCCGTTTCGATGGATCAGGCACATTCCGGCCAAATCTAGATTCAAACGAATTTCGGCTACGGTATGTCAGCAACGCTGACATACGAGCAGCACCGAGCCCCGTGGCAGGGGGATCACTAAATGCGTAGTATCCATCCTCATATTTTGGATCGCTATAGATGCTCTGTCTCTGTGCTTCACCCCAACTTATACCCCACGCAGAGTGCCGACTTGACGTCGCGATTGGCACAATACACCGAACATAATCCTTGCCGAAGTAAGCATATTCCAACGTGAGCATTCCACCCATGGAGCCGCCAACTACGGCAGCGATCTGACGGACGCCCAGATCATCCAATATAATTTTGTGGAGGCTGCATTGACCGTTAGTATCAGTCCAGCTGTTTAAAGTTATGCTCCCCGTGGATGATTAGCTTACTTGACGTCGTCTCTTATCGTGGTCAATGGGAACTCTGGTCCATATAACCCCCTTGACTTGTCACCATCCTTGTACGTGACTGCACTAGCCGTACCATATGGGCTACCCAGACTGTTCAAACAGATGATGAAGAATCTAGTAACGTCAAATGCCTGGCCAGGACCGCCGAGCAGTGGGCCCCACCAGTCACTGACATCTGCACTTCCACTTAAGGCATGACAGACTACTAGAGCGTTATCTCCCGTCGGCGAAAGCTTGCCCTTGGTTGTATATGCCACAGGAACATTATACAGTGTAACACCAGATTCAAGGGTGAACGAAGGGACAATCGCAATTGATTGGTCGGTTATCAGTTTCGAAAAAGGGTTCTCAGGCTGACATGCCACTCTCTCTACGGGATTTAGTAGCTGTTCACCCTCCACAGTGGGTGTATAGGAAGTGTGGTATATACTGACGGAGCTTTGGTTGGTGGGGAGTCTGTTCCCCGCATTCAGCCATCCTGCAGGCGCAATGTGAATCAGCACTGCGAGTCGGAAAAACGGGCGCCAATTGATGAAACAGCCAACAAGCCAACAAGCCCGTTGAATTAGCGTATACCAAGGTATTTAATACGACAGCGCAAGGAGGAGAAGAGAGAAGAAGAAGAGGATATAGTGACGTTGGAGTTGAAGTTGAAGTTGGATGTTCTTTTTTTTTTGCTCTTCCTTTTTCTCCCGCTTTCAAGATCGCGAGGGCTGACGCCACCGCCTACCAATCAGGAAACGGCAGAATTAGGTAAGCCCCGCTCGCGGATCTTTGTTATTCCATTCCGGATGGCTATTGCCGGAATTGGAAGGAACCTTACGGCAGTTTAATATTCAAACGATACTACTGGTGCCTATCTGGTTAAGGTAGCCCGTATTGGATGGGATTTGAACCTCGTAGTATCGAACTTGATCATGAGCCGAATATGCTACCATTTCTCCATAGCCATGAGGTGGTATGATTGTCATTCTACGCATCAGAGTCAGCCTCTACTTACCTGACGGTAGTATGTAAGTATGTATGGATGACCCTAACTAAATCATCTATAGGATTTGGGCCTTTATTTGCTTGTTACTTTCGCCTTTGAACTTGACGTCGTTGGATATTCTAGCAACCGGAGAAGAATGTTATACATAATAATATTATACAGTAATAAGACATAATCATGGACTCATCAACATCGTAATAATACTCGGACACATGCACCGAACATCAGGAACGGAAAGTTGGATCAAGATTAGAGGGTGGTTAGGGACGGCTGGGTGCTGTCGTAAAGATCCTCACCCTCGAGCTTCTGATACTTCAAGCAGCGGGGAGGTGAAAGTGAAATTTGTGACATAGTCTCGTCCATAATAGGGTCGAGGTAGTCATCATCATCGGAGTAATCGGTGTCAGTGGGTTCGGCTCCAGCAGACATGGCAGCAACAACGTTGAGCACCCATTGCATTTCAAGTAGTGCAACATCTGGCAGCAGCAATTCTTTAGGATCCGCGGTCTTCATTAAGATAAGGTCGCCGCTGAAAATTGGCTTGTCGGTGTAGACGTTAAACAATTTAACTTTATTAGACCCTTCATTACCAACGTCTCTAACATCCCCAATTGATGGCACGCTAGGTCGCATGGATAGCCTCACCATCGGGGAATTATTTGCACGCGGTAGCCAAAAAAACTGGAGGGTAAGCTCCGTCTGGTCCTCATTAATACCGATAGGTTTCAAGGCAAAGTATGACCTTCCGTGGTAGCTGTGAGCGCTTGGGGAAAGAGAAAGCAAATTGCGCGGTGTTTTCGTGGTTTGTCTAACTGCTTCAAACCATGCATTTACTTTTTCTCCTGGCCAGAAGAACTTTAGAGTTTTCCAGATGTTATAATACTTGCCAACCACAGCATCGGACAGGAGATGGCGCATCGAAAGTGGGAATATGTGAGCAACTTCAACTGGAGCTCCGGCCTTGGTGATTATGCATTCTTCGTTGTCACGTTTGCGGCACTGTAGCGCTTCTGGTCAATACAGCGACAACCAAGTTTATAGTGAAGATTGACAAACATTCTCAGCCTCACATTTTGATCTAGCTTCGATCAGTTCACGAGCTCACGAGAGACGTCTTCTTCGTTGAAGAGCTTGTCAAGCTCATTCAAGAGTTCGTTCCGCTCGGCGTTGAGGAGCTCGGTGGCTAGGATATGGGGAGTCTGGGAGTCCATAGTCGGCAGCAACAATTCGAGACCGAAATACCGGAAGAGGTGAATGGGGATGGCTGCTAGTTGGCAAGAACTTCGTCACTTCGGCGCTGTGAGGCTACCCTAAAGTAGGTTTGGTTGCTCGTAGCTTGTAGTTGAGCCCCAAATTCCGGGGCGGGGAAATACTGTGATTGGGTCCGCGTGTTCACCAATCAGCGAGCACCACCAAACAAACAACAACCAAATATTCGCTGCCTTTGGCTGGCTGGGCTGGTATACGTGGTATACGCGACGACGGAGTGTCGATATGGCTGAGTATCAAAACGCTGAGCAAAAAGGGGGAGGGAGACCCCTGGTTGGCAGCGGAGAGAGTCGTTATATCATTGACAATAAGTTGTCAAGTGTGTATTGGGCATATAACGTTGCTCGACAATTAGGCATATAACTGCCTAGCAAGGAGACGTTATTCACTTCATCAGATCAACATAGAAGTGAAGAAGAACTGTTGATCGCACAGACAGCCACGAGGTGCAGAGCAAGGATCCAGCGGAGGCCCGCTAAGATACAGCCACAAGACTGTCGGTTCTATGGGATGCCTGGTAGTTAGTTAACTGCTGGAGTAGGAAGTTGGATATACTCTGAGCTTCTGCAACTCCATCAGCAGCCACAGGACTTCGGGATATCAGATGAATCGACTTGGATGATTCACCTCATCCTCTAGTTGGTCAGAGCAGGCAAGACATTTGCTGGTTATCGATTATAAGGTTCATTAGCGATCTGTTGCTCCCCCCCCCTAGACGTCTCATGCTCACTGGTTATCATCCTTGACAGAATCCAGTTCCTATATTTCTCTGCATTATCCATACCATTAGTTAGTTGCGGCCCCGAGAGGTCCTCAAAACGGCTTCCGCTTGCTGTCGATGCAAGATTCCCTTGGGACAAAACACCAAGTCTCCGTGCCGTAACTAATCAACTAGTCGCTCGTGCAGCCCCTTGAGCCCTTTGGGCCGGTCTGCCTCCAGCCACATTTCCAGCGGCGTTTGTTCTACAAACGCCTCAATGTAGAAAGGCTGCAGACTATGGAGTATCTCCGCCGCAAAAGCTTCTTCCCCTCGATCGCTCTCACAGAAAGGAAACAAAAACAGGGCTTGCTAACTAAACTCGTCTAAAAAAAATTATTCGTGGCTACGCCAAAAAGCCCCTGGATGGACGATGGGAAGCACTTCTACGCTCTTATTGGTTCGCACAGATTTTGAGGCACATTTTACCTCCAGTTTCATGTTTATCTCGTCCATCTCCCAACCTCCAATGCGCCGCCTAAGGCGCCCGGGTGGATGATAGTGGAGGGAATATCAACTGAAAATCATCGTTCGAGACAGCAAGAACAGCAAACGGATCAATCGTCCTTACCATTATTTCTTATTTTATTATTTTTTTTTTTTTTTTGGCTCTTCGATGCTCTTTGGTGGGAGCTGAACTTGATATGTATCAAAGTCTCTTTTTTTTTCGTCCTCCCGAATACTCGGGTCAGTGTTAGTTCAAAACACAACCGACAATCAAGTTCTGCAAAGATACGAATAGAAGACTGGGTGAAGGAAAAAAGGACTTCCTGGAGACTGTCTAATCCAACAATTCGGACAGCCCGTTTCCGTTTTCCATTCTATTTTATTCCTTTTCCCCCTAATCTGTCTTCTTAAAATAGAGACGTCACTTTATCCGTGTCAAAAGTGGCCAGGCCCGTCAAGACTGCCAAATATATCAAAAGCAAACGAATTCTACTCGACTAGCTACGCCCTGCTTTGTCATTCAGTTTGGGCTCGTTGGGGTAGTTCCTTGACGATCTCCTTACGAAAACATTGGACTTGATATCTATTCTCCAGAAATGCTACTGGCCCTTTTTTTCAGGTGGAGTTGTGAGGTTGTTGATCACCACCACCACAGTGTCACTTCTATCGGAAAGCAATATGGAAGTACCACTCAAATATGGAGTAACTACCTTTGGGGGGGGAGTGGAGAGGGAGAGAAGAGGCCAGACCTTTTGGCAATGGTCTCTATCACATTCAAACACCGCTACTTCGAGGGAGAGATGTGCCGGGCTTGAATGTTTACTAGCCGTTATCAATCAGTCAACCGAGCCCCCGTTGTACTCACCTTGCCCTACTCCGTACAAAATGGCATAACTACAACAAAAGGATCGGGACATGGCTGGGCCGAGGTCACTCACGATTCAGGGTCCAACTGTACCTGCTGCATCTCCCTGTTTGATGTCAAGCCAGAGTAGCTGTGTTACACCGATCGCCCGTTTTTACTATTTTCTTCTTTCATTCTGACCCCTACCTTCTTTCCCTCATTTGTCTAATTCTTTTAAAACTAAGCAATTTATGCAGGCTGCCGTTATCTACATACATACAACCCGAAGTATCCGTCCGACGTCCTCTTGAATTGATTTCTGCAGAGTTGCGGACCAGACTGAAGAGCGCCTTTTCGTTGTTTTCACACTGCTTTGTTCACCGACCATTCCTCACAGAAAAACCTCCTGAATAGTGGGTCGTTGGCTGTCTTGCACCTCTGCACACTTTAACTCGACCGGACAAACGCTAAGAACGCTCAATCTTTCATCTCCCTAGTCCGACGACTAGTTTACAAGACGATAGGACTCAGATTCAACAGCAGAACGACCCACTCTCTAACCCTGGGCTTACGGATGTGGCTTTGGGGGTCCAAGCTGACTTTCTTCCGAGTACTTTCCAACACAGCTGCCCCCATTTCCCTTCATTCCCCTTGTGCTTGGGCCATTTAAAATGGTATATATCAACTATTTCAGATCTATAAAGAGGGTTCTGCCTCTTTTATACTTGATCCAAGGTTCAATGGCCTTTCTATGTGTCTTCCCTTCCATTGGTCTGTTCGCCTTATTGTCCTTAAAAAAGGCAATATTACCTTGACAAGGGAACTGTTTTCTTTCGAAGTCTCTTGACTTGACTGTGTACCCTTCCGATTTTTGACCTACATGCAAGATAACCGTTGCATGTCAGGGACCAAGCAGAACAAGAGAGGTTTCTGCACGTTCCCGTTCTGAAAAAAAAAAAAAAAAAAAAAAAAAAAACGAAGACGAAGAAGAAGAAGTGAAAAGGGGGAAAAGAAAAGAAATCCAGAAAATAAAATAAAGGTTAAAAAAAGGGCAAGGTGAGGCATGCGATAATCTATATATTCATATAATAGGTATGCCGAATGATGTGCGAATTTAAAGTACTGTGCTTATCCTTCCTCACCAGACAGAATTATAATTCTGCAGCCTTCTTTCCAGAGAGAAGTTGTTTTTACAAACACGTTTCCCCGTCACCTGTTGATATACTTGACATACCCGGAAGACCCGCCCCAAAAAAACACATCCAATTCTCAACCTCTTCTCCCTAAGGGCCTTTCAAAACCTGTTCCACAAAGGGTCATGAGCTCGGCTGCAACGACGCGTGTAATACAAGTACTTTGATCCCTTGATAACTAAATTTTCCTCGGGTTCAGGAGTGCGTTGTCTTCCGTCTACGGGAGTATCGGGAACTAAGGACTTGCAAGTCTATATCAAGGAGCTATTACCCCGTTGACCTAGGGCCCTTTTTACTAAACTCAAGGCAATTCATCTATTGTTCGTGAAATTGTACAAATACCTCCTTAATCCCCTCTCCCTAAGCCTCATATCATTCCCTTTCTACTTTGATATACCCCTTTGAGCCCAACGTTCTTGCCAACCTCCCTTTAGCACTCACACATTCCACCACCAATGGCGCCTGGGAAACTTGTGGACGCGGAGCCATGCTCAGTACCTGATAGTCATCTGTTGGAACAAATATCGGACGATGTCGACCTAGTCAATATCATGAAGGCAAAGATAGCCAAGTCCGGTTCGCAGGCACCACATCTCAACAAGGAGAAAGATAAATCGAACTTTCGACAATACGACAAAGCTTGCGAGAGGGTCAAGGAATTTTACCGAGAGCAACACGAGAAGCAAACAGTGGCGTACAACATTGAAGCAAGACGACAGTTCCAGTCGAAAGTCCGCGCGCGCATGACGGTCTGGGAAGCAATTGAGAAACTCGACACCCTTATTGATGAGTCAGACCCAGATATTTCACTCTCGCAAATTCACCATCTACTTCAGTCAGCAGAGGCCATTAGGCATGATGGAAAACCACGATGGATGCAGCTAGTTGGCCTTATCCATGACCTGGGAAAGCTTCTGTTCTTCTTCGGGGCTCAGGGTCAGTGGGACGTTGTTGGGGATACCTTTCCAGTTGGCTGCGCATTCGACGAACGGATCATATATCCAGAGACATTCGCCAACAACCCGGATTCGACTCATGAGGTTTATAGCACGAAGTTTGGCATATACAAACCGAACTGTGGAATGTACAATGTCATGCTCTCATGGGGTCATGATGAATATCTTTACAATGTTGTGAAAACGCAATCAACCCTGCCAGAGGAAGCGTTGGCCATGATAAGATACCATTCATGTTATCCTTGGCACACCGAAGGAGCCTACAAAGAGCTCATGAACGAGCATGACCATCGAATGCTCAAGGCCGTGCAGGAGTTCAATCCTTACGATCTATACAGTAAGAGTGATAAGATCCCAAATATCGAAGATCTCAAGGTACGTCTACCACTCTTTGAGCTTTGAAGAACTACCTACCATATTGGCCCTTTGTTCTAACTGTCAATTTATTCACAGCCCTACTACCTCGAACTCATCGACGAATTTTTCCCAAATCGAGTCATTAACTGGTGATGAAGTAGCTTACTTCGTTAATCTAACCAACCCCTTTCCACCTCCGTTTCCTTTGTCTCTCAAAAGTATTTTTTTTTATTGTTTTACGGGGTATTTTTCCTTTCTTTCCCACTTCTCATCTCTTCCTATTCAAATGTTCTCCATTCACCCAGCTTTACCACTTTTCATCGCATGTTTAGATGTTTTGGAGTTCCTTGCTTCCTTTTTCTCGTATTAGACAAAAGGCTTTGTCAGT